CACGTACCTCATAAATCTTCCTTGTACCCGATTGGGTAAATGTACTTATAGAATAAGACTTCATTTGAAATATGAGCTTTTTGACATCTGACTTTTAACAATTGCTGTAGACATGTTTTACACAATAATAATCAATAACTGGTTTAATTACTAGGTCAGTGACTTCAAGATATAATTATATATACACCTACTTCGTATCAATCGATTACATGGTTGTAATCCATGTGTTTCCGATGATAAAGAATCTGATTTATTTTTCTTTTCAGTTAATGTGGTGGTTTTTGTCATCAGTCAATTTGGACATGTGTACTTGAGTATATCCTCATGTAGAAAGACAAAACGACATGGTTGAAGAGGTATTTTACGAAATTGCCATGGAGACGAAATAAAACGAATATTAACTTCATCTCAAAATCGATGAAGCATGGTTAGAATTGAAGAGAGAGAAGATATACACGGAAATAATTGAAAGAGTACAGAGGAAGATCAGGTGTTTCAAAAGAGTGAAAGTTTTACGCTTCATCGATGGTACAATCCAAGTACATCTTGTTCAATCCAAGTAAGTAATGTCAAAAATGTTAAAAAATGAGGCCCGCGAAGCCACCTAGCATACTAAAGATCATCAAACATTATATCGCTCTGGGAAATCAAATATTTCCAAATGAGATCACCAGGACGACCTCAAAACATAACTTATGGTTTCAGATATCGAAGTAACTACGACATATAAACAGCATGGGTTTTGGATGCAGGAAGGTTACTATCTAGAAAGTGAAACTTCACAAAAAGGAAATTAAAATCATCACGCTTTCATACAGATTGCTGGATATGCAAAATATGCAGAATATTGGCTGTCGCTGTAAGTTCAGTTGTATCAAAAGATTAAAAAGCGTTTATTAAGCATGTCTGTCGTGTCATTGACTTCAAATTCAGATGCTGATACATTGGTCGGTATGGCCAGTAGGTTTCTTTTTTTCTTTTTTAAGACATGACACCAATTAGTCTATCTAGAAATGAATTTCAAACAATCTGCAATTCTTTTATTAAAAAAGTAAATAATAGTTGATAAATCGAGCCTAAAAACTTAAACAAACTTATAAAGTCATCAGAATACCGTTTAACAGAAGATCTGTTTGTTAGTTCTTGTAAGCTAAATAGACTAGGGACGATCTACCGGTAGAACATAACAAATATTGACTGCAACTCACATTTACCTGGATAGAGTAGGAGAGAAATGAGGGAAAGGCAGGATGAATTAAAAATATTACATGCGTCATACACAAAAGCAAATATAAATATTAATCCAGAACTACAAATTGAATTCTTGCTTAAATTTCCAATACTCTTTATCTTAGTTTGAAATGGATAAGTTAGCATTTAAATGCATGATGATGGGAAGTTGAGTATGAGTGTTATCAACATAAATGACTGCTTTATGGTGTACATTATTCTAAATTGTACTGTATTTTCACGAATAAAGCGTTGTTGGAGATGATTGTGTTTTTTATACCAATGTTCCTTTTGGAAAGATTGAAATCAAAACATGAATAATTTTGTAGATGCAATTTGCATAATCACCCATGATCACTCTGTTTAACAAGAGGCCCAAGAGCCTTAACGGTTACCGAAGTCATAATGCGTCTTGTAACATGTCGTAGAAATGATTTTGTTAAAAAAAGTAATACAACTTTAAGTTTATTGTACACATACTGCAAATATAGATTGTGTATACATTAGCTTTTGTCTTAGGATAAGGCTTCGAATCAAGTTTGAATTAAAAGAAAACACGCTCATGATTTGAATTTTTCTGTTAAAATATTCCATCCAGGAACAGTTACATCTTTGAAATTTCAATCAATTTGACCAAGTTTTGGCCCTGCCCAACAGTCTCTGTAGGTCAGCCAAGGTCAGTATGTGTACCTCATTAAACTGTCATCTTAAATTAATAATTTAAACCAGGTTTGAACTGATTCCAATAAGAAGTAAACAAATAATGTTCAAAAATGCAATTATCCTATATAAACCTAAGTAACTTTATCCCCTACTCTGAGGGAAATGCGAGACCCAGTGGTCATGAAATTTACAATCCATTTTGATTCTACCATACCTCGGAGATGAAGATTTTTGAAGTTTCAATCAATTCGACCCTTTGTTGGCCCCGTCCCTCAGGCTCCTGGTGGTTAGGGACCATATATTCTACATTTTTGTGTGCTTTTAGCCATGAAAGTCAGTGGCGTTGCAAAGGTCTTTTGGGAGTATATGCTTTCAAGAGAGGGTCAAGGGGCGAAGTAAAGTAAAACAAAAATAAATTCAGGTTCAGAAGTTTTTCAAAGAAATCGAAAATGTTAAAAGTTTACGACACACGACAAAAGGGGATCGCGATAGATCACCCAGAGACTTTGTCTCAGGTGACCTAAAACATGAGATTATTTGTAAATACTTACCATAATAAAATATCCGTAAGTAACAAGCTAAACATCTTAAAAACATCCGCATGACAGCCGTCTCATCTAGATATCACCTCCGTAATACTCCACTCCACACGCCTTTCCATTCGCCTTGATTATAACACATTAGACTGGTGAATTAGGAGTTTTGTTCAATAGATCGTAACATAAGAACTCCTTGAATCTTAGATATGATTCCTAGATAAGGAAAATGTGATTTTTAACACCAGAATAAAACATCATTCAACAGACGTTTCTGGCATTAGCAGGTATTTGGAATACATATCCTGTCGTTTATTAGAATGTAATGACATGTTATTGATCTATTTCAGTATATAAAGGCACTATCTTATTGATATGCAGAAAGGAATCATCCGAAAGAATTCCTTGTGTCAGATTTTGTACAGATAGATCTAATCCTAATTATTTTGTCTTGCATCTATGTTGAATGCTTCACTCGTGGTAATTATCCGCCAGGAATTTCTAAATCCATTTCTTTTCTAAAGCAGTGTTGTCATAGTGATATTTTTTGTATGTGTATTAATTGTTAACTTACTAGCAAGTATTATGCTAAAAGATTTTCCTCTGTCAGTTTGGAATACCGGGAAACATATTTCCATTGTATTACATATTACCCGTAGTGATGAGCAAAGTAAAATTAGATGGGTTTTTTAATTGGAAAAGTACTGACTTAATCAACATGTATGGTGAAGTTACGAAGAAACCTTTAAGGGGAAATATAGATTGTACTCATTACCGGTGTGTCGACTACCAGAGATATTTGTGAAGATAAAGTTAACGGAGAAGGAAATAGTTAAGACAATAAGCTTATGAGTGTCAGTTTTACGGTTATTTGTGTATTATACTCTTCATGCACATGCCTGTATTTTTGTCAGATATTTCGGTGTTAATGGTATAGCCAGTGATTTGTAGTACTGTATTACTGTATGGTTAGCTGTAGTTAAATAAAGAATCCATTAATAACTGCATGTGTGATCAGCCATGTACAGTCCTTAAACTTTTATCGCAAAACAGTCTGTGAACATTCGACCTGTTGGCAAAGTAAATACTGTCGTTAGACCAATCTTCAACAACCTCTACAGAAAATTTCTTCTATAAGAACATTTTATTTTTCCTCTCTGTCCACCACAATATCCCATTCTTAACTGAAAGAAATCATTCGTTTTCTTGTGATGAGAATTTTCTTTTCAAAGAAATATGAATAGTGGTACAAACATATAGTGTAAGCTATGCTGAAGCGTATTTCGTGAAAAACAAGTCCAAAATCAAATAGGAAATATACTAAGGATGAAATCATAAAAATGATTAGACTTTTTTGTTGACTACATCTCTGTCAAGTGTGGTGGTAAGATCTACCAACACACTATTTACATACCTATGAGAACTAACTGTGCCCCTCTGTTGGCTAGCTTGTTTTTGTTTGCATACTAGGCCGTATTTATCGAAGAGATTATTAAAACAGGTCACAAAGACTTGCACTTTCAGATATGTTGATGACACACGAGGTGGGCAAACGACTTACTGACTGACGTGGCAATCGATTTCATTTTGCGAAATTGCGATAGAGGAGGGGGGCGGGGGTTGGGTTCAAATGACCTTTAATTCCTTATGGATTATCAGTAAATTATGAGTTATTTGTTAACTTGTTGAGCTGATAAGTTTTCATATACTCATTGAGCTGATAAGTTTTCATATACTCATATAGCAATATCTGGAAAAAGTCTTCCTCTTCAGTATGTTTACATTTCATTTCAAGACCGATCTAGTTACACAAATTTTCTGGGTTTTTTTTCTACATGCGAGTTCATGTGTGTAGACTTCTATCTGATATGTTACAAAACTTTTACGTCCTTAAAATAGGTATCCATTTCATTTTTACTGTCATGTGAAGACTTCTACTAACTCTAAATAAATATTTCCGCGTTATCGCAAACCTGTTTTATGTTGACTTCGACTTGTTTCTGTACAGGTAGAGGTAAATATTAACCTTATAAAGCATCATAGTCTAGATCATTAAATAAGCAGGGCTGAAGGTATTTCAGGTGATAATGTCATATGGTAGTAGGCGATCCTATATTACAGATGTATTGAGCTCTTTTGTCACGGATATATCTGTATATGGATCCAACAGCGTTTTATAATATTATCAAACGTAATTAGTATAAAAAAATTGAACTTTACTAAATATAGTAGAGCCCGGAAACGAGATGACGCCACATATTTATGAAATCACGAAAAGTCTCCGAATACCTTATAAAGAATGCTTTATTTATGCTAACAATGTATATGTATGTAGTTCCGAAACGAAACGTTCGGCTTCATCATTTGATCCCCGTATATGTAAATAAACAAGAGTGAAGCAAGATGTTCTAATTTTCAGTTCATTTCATTTAAAGAAAGCAGTAATTATTTTGGTTGTAAGATTTATTACTATTAAAAATAATGATGCTGTAGTAATTTGTATATAGTTAAAAGGATGGCTTCATCACAAAATATTTCTGTTCCGCCACTTAATACTCGAAGTTTGTTTCAGTTCAGACAAGCTACAATTCTTCCTTGGCTAAGTAGTCCCAGGACACCACGATGCCTTGGCTAGGGCCGAGCGTGATGGAATCCGTTGTCACCTCGGATTCTACTTCCAATCCCACATCCGGTCCAGATACCATAGCTACTTCAGCATCCTTCTCCACACTAGTGTAGCCAAAGTAACTCCGAGTTTGACTAGTCGTGCCGAAGTTGATGGCGATCAAATACCTAAAATGTATATACAACTATTTTAGGAACTTTTTATTTAACAACAATTCGGTTCAAAAGTAGTCAAATATCTGGTGTAAGCACGTGTATTTTACAATTATTCTATAAATAAATCGCATAACGACACCAACCACTGTTATGCCGTTACATCGAAATTCGCGTTTAGACAATTGACATTCTAGTTAAGAATCTTGAGATATGTGTGACAATTTTGTGTAATTGTGATTTTATTTACGAGTGGAATAAGTATGCCATTATGCCCTATCAATTCTTTTTGACACCTCATGTGCGACTACCACTACACTGCCATCTACAATTTTTCGAACTATTCACTTCACTTGGTAACCTAAATCGTTTATAAAACGTATCCAGTTCACACGTGAACAATGATCATCTGTCTCTCACTTTCTCCATGAATTCCCGAAAACTTACAGATCAAAGACCTGCTCGCTGTCTATTTTAGCTAACTTATTTCCCTGTAATGTTTGATACTAACCCCTTCTCTCCATTAAACTCTCGAACGTAGGAGAAAATGTTGTTGTCTACTAGAGCGGAATGGTAACTTCCAACTCTGAAGGAAGTCTGCTTCCGGAAAGTTATCAGGCTCCGAATATACTCAAGTAAGGAATCCGAGTTAGCTGCCTGGCTCTGAAATTATACCATGTTAAAAATCTTTGTATCTTTTGATGTGATTCTCATTTTGTTTACTTCTTTATGTTTTCCTTTGTTGTCCTATACTGGTGTTCATTTTGTCTATTTGCGAAATTGATCGTTTAGATGATAGCATCCTTAAAACTATATAAGCATAATCGTAGAACTGACGACATAAAATATATATTTGGTTAATCTCCAAAGCAAAAACACCATTTAAGGAAAGGTTCTGTGGTCATACCACTACTGAATGTAGTTTCTTGTCAAATGGATATCTGTGTCACTCAACATATTATGTATTTCTAGCCTAGACCTTTCTCGTAAAACGACAGTGTGGATCAAGTTAAACACCCTGCTAGACTACCTGTACATTATTGGTGGATGCGTCTGCGTTGGGCGGTATCCATGGAGTCGAGCATGTCGAAGCAGAACAGAAGCCACCATCAGTTGCATTTTCCCACTGCATCAGCGTACGCATGGTCTTGTTGTTGCCGGAAGTAGCTGTAACTGCAGGGTTATTTTTTAACATGATCTCATCTCCGTAGTAGAGAACTGGAGTTCCCGGAAGTAGCATTGTCAACATATAGTATGCGCGGATATAACTGCCGTTGAATCTAGATGCAAAACGGTCCACATTTTCATCCCCGGCCTGTCGAAAGATCACACCTATTCACAGTTAGTTTCATACGTAGCAAACTGGCATAGTGTTAAAAATGTATTGACATGGAATTACATTTTCAAAATGTTTATTGTTCTAATGCTAATGTTTATTGACCTGCAGTTACATCTTATTAGTGGTGAGTTTATATATCCACTGTGTTTATAACGAAGTTTTCGAGTTTGTAGGGAGGTACAGAAATGCAAAAAAAAAGACATGAAAGCCTACCATCCAACTGGGCCATCTTCCTCCTGATACACCTGACATCCAGGAATCGACGTAAGTCTTGACGCATGCACCGTCGCAACTTCCCGTTTTTTCAAAGAAATGTGGGTCGAGTGAGAGGTCTACAGCGTTTGGCGGCATGGCAACTGTAACATCATTTGTTGGCATATTTGCTATCAAGACGCTGAAACGAAAAGACAAATCAAATTCATACTCCAAAGCTGATTTAAGGAATGGAACAGTTTTCTATTAAATATAACTCAAAATACACGATAGATTTAAAATGTATTGGAAGGGACATAAGCTAAGTTCGTATATAAAGGATACTGGGTAATGGTGTGAAATTGGATATCATACTGACCTGTCATTTAGGCTGACCAGAGCCCGCCATCTGGATAACATGTCGAAAACGCCTGGCTGTGCGAATGTGTACTCGTGGACAAGATTCTGATATTCATTCTGCGATCATAGAGTAGCATATGTATCTACATGTAGATGTAAACTATAAGCAGGTAAAATTATTCAAAATTTAAACCCATTAATTGCAAGGCATTTTTAAACCTAGGGTAAAAAAATACTAGAAAAAGATATCGAAAGCAACTCATGTAAAAACTGGAAACACGCTGTTGATGACGATATATTTTGATTACTGCGTTCGATGAAGACCTTATTCGTGTTGATGGGTCATTTAGATAAAAAGAAGAGAGACCTACCGCGCTCGCACCTCCATTTGACAACTCGTTCCTTAAGTCATAATCCTCAAACAGAAAGGCACTGTCCCGTACGTAAAATCCATCAACACCCTTTCTCAACCAGAACTCTAGAATTGCCTGAAATACATATTAGACGCTTTGATTGATTTGACTTGTAAAACTCTATGTATATCTTCGTACAAATTTACGTGGCAATTACGTAATTATCTATGAAAGTTAAAAGGCGTAAAAATAACATCATTGATATAATTCTACTATATACCTTGAGTTCCTCCTGGACACGCCCACTTCGGAGATTAAGGTCGGGCTGCAAGGTTGAAAATTGGTGCAAGTAGCTCTCGTTCCGTGTGGCATCCAACGTCCATGCCACATCCCCACTTAGAGTTCGCTGGAAGCGTTAAAAGTTATCACGAGGTTAAAATTGATGCTGTTTATAGGTTTATGAGTGGCTAATCATGTGTTATGGGTTTATTACTATTTCTGGTATGGACCTGGTTACTTTATATCAAATAAGATTCCTCAGCTTGATATGTCACTATTATCGAATCTTTTAGGTGAAGTACGTTGTTATCGTACTCATACGTACCCAGTTGTTGGTATAAGAAGACCAGACATAGAAATTACGGTGTGTATTACTGTAGGCACTGGAGTTAGCACTGCTTATGAACCACTGGTGGTTTTTACTCGTCTGATTTGGTATAAAATCCAGAAGGATTCGCATTCCTGTAACAACATCAACAGTTATATAAAGACAGTCGTACACAGATATTATGCACCAGAACAACACACTGGTGTGCTTAAGACTAGCATCAGAGCAGAAACTCATTGTTCCCAAAACTAACTAGCATTTATACGCAAGCAGCCCGTCTTACATCAGCTAAGAGGACATAGAAGGATGATGTGACCTTATTTTCCATGGTAGTATTTACTTGTGTCGTGATTGTGTATATAAAATAGCCTACCTTTATCCTTAACCTTTGTGATGAGGGACGTTAGGTTTTCCATTGTTCCCAGTTCAGGATTGACACGAAGACTATTGATAACACTAAAGTCATCTGAAGCATCAGTTTCAAATACTGGGCTGAGGGAAATCGTGTTGACGCCTAGAGACTGGATGTAATCAAGCTGCTGCTCCACACCTGTAAAATATGATATGATTTCTCAATACGTACACATTCTAATATAGATTTCCTTATATTCATATACTTAAATGAATATAAGATGTATGACAGTATATACTTTTAAAAAATGCAAATAAGTAGTAACTGTCGATATTTATAAGATGTCAGTATCGAACAGGTATCAAAATCCAAATGTAGCTTCGTGAATATATATATGATTTTTTTTTTAGACTGAAAAACATGTTTTACAGCTCATCGTGTTTTCCAGTCTTTTAAGAAATATATATATATATATTGCTGGGCACGGATAATTCATCACATTTTCACTATACATATATATATATATATGTATATATTACAACGATAGATATTGTATTTGTGTCGTGTTTGTTCATGTCCTCCTCATGTATAGATGTTTCAAAGAAACACAATTATTCACTTACATTCATGTGTCATTCATTCATGAATATTTATGCATGAGATCACGTGGTACAATAAGTATATTTAGTTGCATTGTGATTCGCTTTAAACCCAGGGTGATCTTTAAAATTGTATCTGTAACATCGACGTCTTCCTTAGAAATTTTATACCCGACTGGAGCCTTAAACCTTAAAGCTGCATATATGTCATATATAATTTACCTGTAAGATCCCCGATTCCGTCACCGTCAGAATCTTTGAAGCTTCTGACGTATATCCGGTATATTACATCATTTTGCAACCAACTCCTCTCTTCAGCCGCCTTGCACTTTGGGTACATTAACACGAGGGCTACCACGGCCACCAGTAGGGCTAGCCAGGAAAAGATTACTAAACCAATACACGCGGCTCTCAGTCGTCTCCACAATGGACGGGACGAAATCACCAGCAACTCCTCCTTGTTCATTCCGTAGAAGGGATTGTCTTCCTCCTCTTCGTAGACCTCGAGAGGCTCCTTGCCCCTACAACAGGAAGTTACAGATGTGTAAGTCAATAGATATTAGTAGGTATACAAGGTGCGGTTTCGATAGGTCTTTCTTTTGTGTCAGCTCTCTTTAAAGCCGATATATATTTCACTGTTCAATTATACAAATATTGATTGTGACGGGAACGTCAACATCATCAATTAAAGCTTTCTATACTTTTTAGTTCACATTGGTATTATACAACAGAGTCTGCTTATGAACTGATATAAAATACCTACTTGAACAACATTGCCCCACTTGGCTTCCACAGTAATGAGTGAGAGCAAATCGTTTACACTCCGAACTAATACATTCTCTTTGATGATTGTACAACACTTGGCAAAATGCGAAATATTTAACCAAAACTTCTTTTCTATGTTATCTGAATTTTGTGTTTATATACCAATCAACGTGTCTACCGCTGTGATTCACTTACTCCATAGTAACCGATGAGTCTACACCATTGTTCTCATACACCATGTACGGCTCTGACCGCTTGGCGGATACAAGGTATACTCCGGAATTGCGTGACATCACTTCCTGTTTTGAAGGGGTTCAAGATATCTGGAAACGTATGCAAAACTAAATTACTATAAATCTGCAATGTTATTATGACAATTAAGAACAATCTGAGTAGGATCAACTCGCATTTCATGGAACAACACTATGTTAATTTTTTACTTTTCATACTAAACTCTTGAATTTTATAAAGTTAAAAATTTAGAACCGTCAGAATAAGAATAAATCAAAATCGGTCAATTATCTCTTTTAAAGTGTATACCATCTCACGTTATGTGATATCTCACAAAAAATGTTTGCATGTTTATGCAGTGACCGTGTATGATGCATACACAAATGTATGTATACTTTGTGTTTGTAAATTAATTTGGGTTTCTCTTTTGACGAGTAGAATGAAGTATTCTTCGAAAATATCATATAGATACTTATAGAGTAAACGTATAGTACAGGTATCTATTTAGTAAGCTTTGATGAACAAAACCAATATTCATATCTATTAATTAAAAGGTTACTAAACATTGATAAAACTCCAGTTTGTTGATAGATTTCAGCTATATCATTTTGTACACATAACGCTTAATTATGCGCCATTATAACATTGTCAGTCCTGCATTTACTGAGAGGACAACCTGTAGTCCAATGTTTCAGTTCTCGGGAAAAACATAAAATGTCTACCAAATGTAGAGCCGCAAAATTACTGTCATTTGTAATGGAAAAGTTTCTATTTGTCTGAAAGACAATTGCTGGATGTACCTAACTAATCAGACACTATGTGTTCTGTCAATTATAGAATCATACCAACATGTCTCCACCATTTCATCCAACGCCCTACTATAACTGAACCTGTGATATATATATATATATAAGAAAAGTTAACCTTACGACTTAAATTAAAGCTGACCAATGAATGAGATATATTGTCTCGAACATACCTGCGTTGATGTCTATGTTAAAACGTCTGGATTCAAAATGGCTACGCAAACCTCGTCCCTTAACTCTGCAATAACACCAGGCTATAAAAATACCTAAATATTCATTTTCACGTCTTCTCGTACCTCTCGTACCTGTGTGTACAGGTGTGTGACTACATTTACCTGCTTACCTGGCTGGGCCTGGCTGGTATGTCATCGAACTAGTTAGCTTAACGGGACGGTATTGTTTTGTCTGTTTAGCTTATAGATAAAATGTTCTACTGTTTCGCTGTTCTAGTGTTGCATAACTATAGAATAAATAGGAAAGATATGCTCTCGCTTATGAAATACTTAGTGAACTAATGACGATATTTGAAGACTTGTTTGTTAAGAAGTTGTCTCAACATTTTCAAATTACATACCAGGTATATTCTGACCTCCAGGTAAGTGACACAGGTAGCTTGATATATTCTCACCTGTATTCTCCAGTACGGGTGTGACATCATAGTGGATGGTTTCGTCTGAATTCGGGCTATGTTATGTATACATAAACTCCTCTTTTTATCTTTTGTGCAACAGGAATATCAGCATCCGATCTCACTATATCCTGTATCTTACAGATTTTCCTAGAACAATAAGCGTGTGACATATTTTACCGAAAATGTTTATTGCTTTACCGGAACCCGTTTCAGATAATATAGACCTTCATGTAAAACACTAAATACAAACAGGTGCCAGTAAATTTCAGCATGAATACAAAAACAAACAAACAAATGAAAATTGAGATATTGAGACTTTTGATAAATAAATGCATCAATATATGATGAATTGTGGAGATCCTAAAAATCATTATCTTCAATAGTGACAATAAATTTCAAAACTTCAACTTAGGTACTGGATGGAAATTAGTAGAGAAAGAAAATTTACAGAAACTGTAAAATGTTAAACTTGCCTATTATGATCACAATACGAAATTGCTTAACGCCAAGAAAATTGTTTTATCTAAAACGAAATTTTAAAGAATGTATACACAATAAGGTACGGTTTTATACAACATATTTACAAACATCAGCATGAAACTGAAATTTGTGTCAGAGATTGGTTATTTCTTACTGTAAAAAGGTAGCTATTTTCTTATAGTTTTACAAAAAATATATAATATCTATTTGGAATTTGTTATCTGTATTACACCCATTTTTCTTAACATACATGCAACGTATTTTCTTCCGCATGCCACCATAGACACACCAGTTTCTGGATTAAGTTTGACGTCACATGTACAAATTTAAAAATCATGTACCATCACACTTCTCCAACAGGGATAGGCGATTGTTGAATGTTACAAAGGTCACCCCACCGGTGTACACAGGACTCGAGGAAGATGATAATAAAATGCACTGAATGGAATTGTTTAAACAGTAGTTGACAAAACTGCACGTAAAAGTTAAAGAGACGAAGCAGCTCTCCTATATTGCCTAATTAGTCAGTTGTTACTGTAAAGGACAATGTGGTGGGGTCATGAGCTACCTATTACACCACAAAAGTGGGGAAGCCATTCCGCTTACTGAACAACTTATTAAACAAAACAGGCTCACCGCCAGACGAGGGATGTTCAGGGGCGAGGAATGGATGATTTATACAAACAAACTATATATGGGTTTACTATTTAACTGAAGCAGACAGGGCAAAATATAACATCTTAAGAAATCAATTAAAGCAAATCTATTGGATGTGACATTGTGAAAACGTCCGATTTTTAACACGAAACTACACTCCACAAGTAGGTAAACATTGAAGTAAATCCATGAATAATTGCAATCAAATAGTTTTTAGTGGTAAGCATTGAGAGAGAAATATTCCTACATACGATTAGTGTTTTTCAATGTTTTTCTTCAAGTTCAAAACTATGTGAACACATTTATTTCGAAATGGAATGCGTCCAAATGAGCGGTTGTAGACAATATGTGTGTGATTTTTCACAAGGTTATTATATCAAACTCCCTTGAGAATGATATCTCAACGCCTGGAAAGTGATATCACACCCTCTATTATTTTTTTAAAATTTCGCCGCTTCCACTTTTCGCTGTCTGATATGAACATACATATATTGGCCTGGAAGAAATGCTTATTTTCTCTTACGAATAATAATTTAGAGTCCAACTCAAATTTCTGGACAGTGCCGTTTCTGGATTGTTTTGCCTTATTAGTGATACACCTGCAGCTCATTCGGAATACTTCGCCTCGAAACAGTGCTTTCCATCATAGGTTAGATAACCCGAAATCGGCCGAGGTGTTCCGATTGCCTGCAGCTGTCGGCGAATGTGAACAGCTAAACATGACGACAAGGGCTAATCAAGGCGAGGCAATTTTAAAAGTACTAGTGGCAAGAATTGCCTTCGGTCCTTTGTCTGATATCGGAACTTTCGGGCTGATAAGGGGTATGATATCAAAATGGGTCACGTAATAATCTCTGGTGATTGTCATATCACGCTTATCTTCTTTATTTTGTAAAGTAGTTGTTACATGTATTTCTGATCGATTTCGTAAGAAAGCATGGTCAGACACCGCAAGTGATTAACGTGTCGAAAATAAGAAAAAAAGAATAAATGCAATAGAATGCATGTCTTTTATATAATTTTGTTTGTATGATTTCTTCAAATTACATTTCAACATAAACACACACACAATAGTTTTTATCCAGTTGTTCTTCGCAGTTTCATTTCATTTAGTTGATTCAGTTATCAGTTTTCAGTGTTTATTATCCTTTCAAAGATCTCAGGAACATGCAAATCAGCAGATATTGCGTTCCCCGAAAATACGTCATACGTTCCTTGGGAACACGTTACAGTTCCTTCGCTACGTAGTCCCACGAAACGACCACTCCTTGAAAACTGCCAAGAGTTATTGATCTCGTGTCAATATCGTCCTCTATGCTGTAATTGACGTCACTTCCGGTAGTTAGCTCAACCGTTGCTGCTTTCTCAATACTTCCATGGCTCGTGTAGAAATCACGTGTCTGTTCATCTTCACTGAAATTGATAGCGATCAGGTACCTGGAACGAAAGAATTTTAAGAACACTGGTGATTTACGTTCCACTATGACAATATGGAATTTAGTTATCATTCCGGATTGATGTAATATCGTTCACGTTTATTTGTGTGTTTTAGCAACTCATGTTCTCGATTTGTTATCTTTATGAAATAAATAAATATTTACTTACCCCGTGATACCATCAAACTCTCGAACGAAGGAAAATATACTATCGTCTGTTATGGCTGTAGTGAATTCACCAGTTAAAAATGTCTTCTCTTGTCGTAAAGACGTAAGGTTTTTGAAGTAATTAATTATGGAATTGGCCGATTTACTCTTATCCTGCAAAGTAGATAATTCAATAGGTATGAAACATTTGCACCGTATCATGAAAATGTTTTACATAAAAGAAACAATATCATTTTCAAGTAATCATCAGCACTGCTGTAAGTAGCATATCAAATTCGAGACCAATTTATTCAAACAACAGGGAATACCTGTATTAAGTGTGCACTTATATTCCTCTTCCGCACTTCCTATTCGAAATTTATAGCAATCTAGAAATCTTGATGGTACCAAAACAAAGCATTAAGTAGGGGTTTCCAGCTATGTTAATTACACACAGAGGTTGGCTAAACGAAATTTTTCCATTTGAAGACGAGTGCTCGGCTACTTAATTTCTAATATCAAACTTCATGCCATCGGCCATAAATTCCACTTAAATTAGACAACGATCCATTTGATTGAATAACCAATTAAGATATTAAAGAATAAAAATGAAAACGCCTATAAAAGATGATAAAACAAACAATTTTTTTTTTTCATTTTTCGCTACAAGAAAGGCGGAACCATTAACGCAGAACTAAATAGTCTAGCCTGGCATAAACAAACTCAAACATGTCGCCACCAAGATGTTTCATTCTGCCACTGTATTACAAAACAGAAATGACCAAATAATATTTACCTGAACATTGTTGGTCCTGTATTTACTATCAGACGGTATCCAAGGTAGTTCCGAGCATGTCCGGGAAGAACAGAATCCGCCATCTGTTGCGTTCTCCCATTGCATAAGCCCACGCATGCTCTGTTCGCGTGCCCATGGCTCCGAGTCAACATCTATGTCTGTCATAAGTATCTCATCCCCGTAGTAAATAATCGGTGTTCCCGGAACAAGCATGGCAGTCATCAGAAACGCCCGGATGTAGCTCTCGTTAAACCTAGATCCAAGTCGAGCAGCATCGTCGGTGCCAATCTAAAGTATAGAGATACAATGTACATTTTATTGAAGAAAGAACTAATTAACTTTCAATTAAAAAATATGTAGATTTTGAATTGTTATAGTTGATGATTTAAATAGAATTGATATGCATCAGATAACAGAATTATATCTATTTGTTGAACTTCAAGTTTAAAAAAACGCTTGCTCATGTAATAATTAGCACTGAAATAGGGAAACTTTAATAAAGCGAACGAGAAAACAAAGAATTCGCATCTTTACAAAATGGTCTCCCTTACCACCCAATTTGCCCAATGGTGATCGGGCAGTTGTGATAGCCAATCTGTTATGTACTTCCGGACGCAAGGGGCGCCACAAACACCATGTTCCGGGAGGAAGACCTCGTTTAAGGCAATGTTGACCCCGTCTCTGTCATAGTGACCGTAATAACTCATCATTTTGTCCACGCTTCCTTTGACATCCGCCATAAGCATTCTGATACCAAAATTAGCAACATTATCGTTTCCTTCAAAACTCATTTTAAAAGACGTATAGCAACCACAGCATAATCAAAGATTTTCGTGTGCATAGTTCTGCGTGGAATACAAGATTTATTGTGACATTTAAAAATGCATGGACAAATAACTACATTCGCTTTAGGTATTCTCATATCAAAGTGGGTATCTAGTCAAATAAAGCATCAATACTCTATGTTTAAGCGATCGAGGTTCTCGATTGGTGCATTGTGTTATTATAATTGTAATTATGTGCAATCTAACGTACGATAATATTGTATCAACATCAACACATAACCTATATACACAAGACATGTATCGTAAGTCTATCTTATGAACGTGCATCATGCGCATGTTTAGTGGCTCAACAGTTCAAAACCGACAAATGAATGTTACAACGGTATCTCATCATTTAAAAAAGACGCAGTTTCTTTCGTTACATGACTCTTTTTCATTCACGGTGTTACTTTTAAAATCTTATGATTATAATGACCTTTCAGTAGTGTTGCTGTATTCCTCCACTAGAGTGCGCCATCGTGAAAGCATGTCGTAAACTTCTGGTAATCCGTAAGTCATCGTATGGTCGTAGTAAGAATATTCAGTCTAGAGTTAAAAATGATTGAAAAACAAAGACATTGTAGCACAGACTGTGTGTAACTTAAGCAATGAAAGTAGCTTAATAAATACAAAACCTTCATTTTACGTTACTTCAATTTTCGCTTTTAATGAACTTTTTGTTGAATGTTATATAAAGTTCAAAGCCCAGATCAGAAGAGATGGAGGTTAAAAACACTATATATCTTTTAGTACGAATTAATGGAATTACGAAAATTTCACACACGTGAAGAAAACAAGAAATTATGTACTGCCATTACAATATAATGTAATGCAACATTTTAGTTTCGTTACTACCAATAAACATATTTACTGGGTCCGAGATGTTGGTTATGCTGCTTTTCGCTTCATTCCGGAGATCGTAATCTTCAAACATGAAGGCACTGTTTCTTATATAGAACCCGTCAACTCCTTTGGAGAGCCAGAATCTCAAGATTTCCTAAAATACACATTTATTAATACAAGCTTGATCGCAACCGTCATCTATATCAAACAGTTTATATGACATTTTGAATTTTAAATTATATTGCCGTGTTTAAACCAAGAATTTGTTCGCAAACTTGTTGTACCTAATGATAAGGCATTGTAAACAATGCAATCCACAAGGTCACAACTGTCGACAGGTAGGCCACAATAAACATTGTTATGTATATTTAACCACTGTCTCCTTATTCCAGTAACTCTACTTATACCAGGTATTGACGCAATAAACGTTTCAGAATTTCGCTTGAACAAATTATTTCTATCTGAAGAATATCCCATTGAAATCAGAGGGTATTTCATATTGACCAATTACATCGCCTGATAAAGATGTAATAAACAGGTTATACTGGGACATATTCATCTTTCACAAGAAAAATATCAATGTTTCTATCGAACGGAAGCGGCATTTCTATAAACAAATCACCCTTAAAATGATGGTTTATCTACTAATCGTACGGTCCGAAACAGATACTTCAATTTAGATCAATTTACGCGAGCAATATGGTGTTTGCTTACCAAGCATTGTCATTTGAAAGGCGGCTATACATTCCGTATCAGCACTTCTGAATGTTTTAAATCAAAAACAATTTATAAGTGCATTTAATATTTACATCAATCAATCAACCTAAAATAAGTTCAAAACCCACCTCGAGTTTTTCCTGCACTTGAGAGCTGCGTAAGTTTAAATCAGGCTGGCTTGGAAGGAACTGGTGTAGGTAGTTTTGGCTTCTCGAACCAGTAGTCGTCCAGCTATCATTGTTGTACACACTTCTCTAGAATGAATACACAGTATTATCTATCTATATCACGTGTTAGTTTCTAAAACTGACGATTCAAGCTGAGAACAGGAAAAACACGTTCAATCAATGGGTACAGTGTACATATTTTCAAAACAGAGTAGTCCATTTACTACATGTCCGATACCAAATTGCAAGTTTCAATGCAAATCTGCTGTGACATGTTTTCAAAATATTAAATTTATGACAAGCTTTACCCAGTTTGTCGTTGTGTCAGTCCAAACGTAGAAGTTCCGGAAGTTGTTTGATCTGTCTGACGTCACACTGCTGTTTATGAACCACTGGTGGCGGTCACTGGTGTGGTTTGGAATAAAGTCCATCAACAGATGCATTCCTGAATACAGGTGTATCAATATTTCATTATGGCATTAAACCATCGTTGCTTCATTTGAATTTTTAATGTATAAAATACAGAGTCTGTTTGAAGCAAAAACACGAAAATTGCGGCAGCAACTAATAATGACCAAGGCTTAAAGAATATAAGCAATGCTTTAATATCTATACATCAAAAGATTATAGCGTTATGTATGTCCATACAGATGGCAACAAACTGAAAGTAATCTAGAAACTAGAACCGTGACCTGACTAAAGAATGAGGAACATGTTTCAACTTTTACTTAAAAGAAGACCTTCCGCTTAACCTTAAAATGAATAGTGTTTCCTATTATTTCTTAAAATTTTTAAGAATTGTCTAAAGATCGATTGTGACTGAAATAGATACATAGGTTACAAACCTCGGTCATGTACGGCTTTTAGTAAGGATTCGAAGTCGCTCATATTCCCGTAGTTCGGATCTATGGCCATGTGATCGATGACGTTGAAGTCAGAGTCAACGTCATCTGACAGGTAGACTGGGCTCAGAGATATAGTGTGGGTACCCAGGTCCCGGATGTGGTTCAGGTGGGCTTCGATACCTACATCAATAAAAAAAATTGTGTTTAATTTGAAATGTTGAATAAGAGAAATAAACATGTCACGTGATCATGAAGATAAGTTTCTGTCAAATAAGGCGCGGCCTATTGACCTTATGTTTTCTGTGTCATCTTTTTGGAACACAAACATGAAATTGCAATACCCAATAAATTCTATTTTAAAGTTAGCAGACTATTTATATCAAGGATCTACGTAATCAACTTTGTTATTATATATAAACATGTATATATGTGTGTGTATATATATATATATATATATATATATATATATATATATATATATATATATATAGTAAATAGTTCAAGTCTAATTCTAATCTAAGTTTGCAATATGTAAGTGTTGATTTTAACCTTTAAGGTCTCCTATGCCGTCTCCGTTACTGTCACTAAAACTCCGGACATATACTCTGTACACTGTTTCATTCTGCCACCAACTTCGTGTTTCCTGATCCCGACAACGAGGGTAGATCAACACGAGCGCCACCACAGTGATGAGAAGGGCTAGCCATCCCAATAAGACTACTGAGATACACATTACGCGCAGGCGCCACCAAAATGGTTTTGACGAGTGACGTAAGAGTTCTTCTTTTTCCATTCCCCGAAATGGACTGCCGAGTGCAGGGGTCTCTGGAGGGACATCCACCGCTTCTGACCTGTATGTGGGTAAAATTTAATGGTTATCAATCCAATAATTTATTGTTAATCCAAATTACAGTTGAAGGATGGTTTTGTGTCACAAAGAACTCGGAATGTAACGGAATATTGAGGAGACGAATGACACAGATTACAGAATTAATCGAATTAAAAGTTGAAAGTAGAACTAATTAACTGACAATAATCAAAGGCTGTTACATTGACCTGGATATACATGATTAGGGCCGTTACATTGACCTAGATATACATGACCAGGGCCGTTACAGCGACCTGGATATACATGATCAGGGCCGTTAACATACTTAAAAAAACATACTGAATTGCTGATGAGTACGGAAGGCCTAGTAATAACCTATTTATATTGACGCCGTTATTCAGACTTAATTATCAGGACCATTATAAAATCAGGAATTATACTGACATATTTGTGCCTTACTTGGGATGGTGGTCGGCCTCTACTACACTGTACATTAGTACATTGTACAGAAATATACTTTTGATTTCTGTTTTCAGGAAGAAATATGATGCGTACTTCGCGAACAGACGTTATTTGATTTATAAGTCCAATGACTTTTCAATGCGACTGAAATTTCACTGACATGATAAAGAAAGTGCACCCTGCAAAAGATATTTACCCATACTGATCTTCATAACTGGATTGATCTCCCTTTTCAAACGAATCAAATTCCTGTTTAGATTTCGTACTACTTTTTCCTGAATAACTGCTCATCTTGTCAATTCTGTAAAAAGATCAAAATAAATTAATAAATAAAACCCACACATTTCAACAATATGAACATTTTTGATATAGGTTATGTGTTTGTTTGATATAATACTATCGCATCCCTGATTCAAGTGGTGTAGCGAATAACACTCACTACCAACGCCACCCCTTCCCCCTCCCCCGTTATTCAGAGGAACAAGAATGATATTTATCAGCTGATAAAACTCGATTGGTAGTTTGTAAGATAAAAGCCCTGGTAAATCAAGACAAGTGAATGATGTATACTATGATAATACTTTAACTCACTGCTAGTAGATACTAGTAAATGTACGAAGTTTGTCATCTCCTCCAACAACATTTCTTTGTGCGATATGAAGTTGGACGTGTGTGGTGCTCGTTAGTTTGCTTGGTGTTTAATTGTTCTCATTTGGGACATGACATTGCTTATTTTGATTGACCAAGATTTACATGGCGGATGTTGTCGAGAAGAAGACGCCTACCCTTCCGGAACACCTGGTCCTATTCTCCTAGTACTTTCCACGTGTAGATATTTCTTTTGTTTCAATTTTGTTTCAGTTCAAGTCTGTTAACATGTCGATATTTTTTTTTATGTTACTTATCTGACTAGTTCCATACATGAAAATTTGAATAATTTTGAAAGAAGTGGTGCAGCTTTGATTTATCAATGTTGTTGCTCCCGCTGGAAGCGCACAACCAGCCTTACTGTAAGATAGTACATTGATATTGACATCCCTCTCGATGACGTTGGTGTTGATAATATAAATATTGTTCTTCTTAGGATGATCTGCTTGTTAGGTAACAAAGCTGACCTGTTTTTACGTCATTAATCGACACTTAAATACGGGACAGTACAAAGTATTTCTGATAAACATATCTCAGCTTCGAGACATCCTTTTAACCTGTCATATGGGAGATAAACAAACCACAACGTCTCGTGTATCCAACTATGTAGATACACACGTAGATACACCATTAACACACCCTGTATCCTGGTTCATTCATACACTGAAAACTTTTAGCATCATAATCGTGTACATGTAATTGATTATGAGTTGAATTAACAAATTATGCAACGTAACGTTTCAAAACTTCAATTCGCAATACATGTCGATACACGTGTATCTATTAACTGTGTTCTGTGATACAGGTGTATTTAAAAACTGTGTTCTTTGATACAAGTGTGTCTATAAAATGTGTTCCGTGATAAAAGTGTATCTATAAACCGTGTTCCGTGATACAAGTGTATCTATAAACTGTGTTCCGTGATACATATATATCTATAAACTGTGTTCTGTGATACATATATATCTATAAACTGTGTTCCGTGATACATGTGTATCTATAAAATGTGTTCCGTGATACAAGTGTATCTATAAACTGTGTTCCGTTATACAAATGTATCTATAAACTACCAAAATAAATAATGCGACATATTAACACTACTAATGCTAACATAAAGTATCTACACACGTCAGAAAATATTCATTTACAACATGAAGTCATAAAATTATATAAGTGATTTAAAGATCCTACACAAGTAACGCAATATAGATCTATCTGATATATAAGTAATAAAGACTTACCGGTCGTCTTCAGACAAACTTTAAATCATATACTGAACCTTTATCAATTCTTGTTATCATAAATATTTGAGCATCACAGTATCATCGCAGCATTTGTGGAATGCACGAGTACCTCTAAGGGTAACATGTTGGACAATACTGGGAATCTATGTTACTGAGATAGTTGTAGATCCTTTCAAAGTATATCCAGTCTTGCACTATTCCTCTACTCGACGTTTATCAGGACCATGGTCAGCCCCTAATTTAATCCCTTATGTTCCATTCCTCTAACGCTCATCCCTAATCTTTATTTCGACGTAAAAATGATAAGGCGGGATTTTCATTTTGACAATATATCAGGTTGATAATACATAGATTTATGTACAAACCCAAGAGTACCCCGAATGTACCTCTCTAAATACCCTTATCTACATTGGGATTATAGGACAGATATGGGTTACCTTAAGGATACCCGGTCCATATTTGGTGATTATTTGTATATTTAAAGATGATCATGCCTCACTGATATTGGATATGCATGAAATAAAGTGGTTATTTCCAACACTTCCATTCCATACATTGCGATGTTCATAATTCAAGTTATCTGTTATATGAAAACCACGATCATTCACCTCGTCAGGTTGACATTGTTACGTGTATACAATACACTAAATGTATGTCAGTTTTAAAATAAGATGGACATGCTATTTTATTGTCTCAAATTCAAAGATTTCAACATGATTTAGAATAGCTTACATGAGCCCAAATTGTAAGATTTCTTCACAAAAAAACAAATGTATTTCAAACTTGTTCCATGAACAACCTGCTATATGGAGAATACTTAATAGTTTGCAAGTGGCTTTGACACATACTTCACAAGTGTGACAAATACCCGTATTTTTTGGTAAGCGAGATTGAAAATATCGCTATATTCCTCCCTATGAGTTTATGCTGAATAAGACCATACGTTATGTGCATGTAATTTGTAATGATACTGTATATTGTAGGTGCAATATGGGATTATTACATACATATTATAGTGTTAGAATTAACAGAACACTGTATGTTTGTACGTCTTAAATGAGTTACTCTCACGGCAAACATATTGAACAACCCATTATTTGAGCATGATTCAAGAAGAAATTCTATGTCGATAACGATGCCAACCATTGTGGAAGCTATGGAAACACCATGTGTTTCTTTTTATTTCCTTGGACAGAAATCGGATTAGCAATGGTATGGTTTTAACTTAGGCTTAACTTATCTATTAATCAGTTGGTCGTTAAGTTTTACAAACATGTCAACCATCCTGGACGAAAATGCTACAAAACCAGTTTTATAATTTATATCTTTTTTTTTATTTAGTTTTTTAATAGAGATTAAAGATACATTTTTTTCAGCAGATTACACTGATACAACACATGAAAATATATAGCAACATCATTAAATATGATTGAAAGGACAAGAATACAGAGAACAAATAGGGCATCAGCTACATCCATCGAATTGTATTTACTATACACATATTTCATTTTTAAGAAATAGTCATAAAAAACACAGATACCCGTACAAATATCAGAGTGAATGTTCGATTTGTAATTAATTAACGACACCTGACCTGGCAGTGTTACATGAACAGGACAGTAGATGTCATACCTGTCAGTGAGTAGTCATGTCTAATACATTTCTCTCGATACTTTTCTGATGACCATCATATACATATCTCCCAATATATGGTATAATACACGACCATATAATATTTCTTCTGATGCCTGTTATATATGTCTCCTCAATATATATAAATCTGATTAATCCCACGCCCCCCCCCTACATTTTTTCTGACAACTATTGTCTACACGGACATTGTATGTATTCACACTCTCTATTTGGTGTATCTCTCCCTACTAAATGCTCCTATCTGATGACTATTGTCCCTCCTGTTCTATACGGTACTATTTCATTGGAGAAAATACTGTATAGATTTTCTATGTCCAAATTCTATAATTAAACTTGAGTTTGTATTAAAACCTTCGTGCCAGCCACTGTATTGAATTTCTGTACCCAAATTTCCCCAAGAAAATGTTATTATATCACTATTTTTACTTGACAGTTGAAGTATGATTAAAACGGGAATAACACACCAATAAAAATTGTTTTTTATATGTTTTTTTTTTTTTTTTTTTGTAATCATCTTCAATATTCTGATGTTTTAAGTCTACATCATGACATTTTTAGAATTTGCCTTAATTTATACACTCTTTGAAATGTGATATGTTTCGACATTTAGTAAATACATGTGAAGAAATTGTATGTGTTCAAATGATTAAGAAGTATATGTTTTCCAATCAGAACCAATTTACAATGAATTATCATTGGTAACATTCGTCTACATGTACTTTTCATATAAATGACAGGTACTCTTGATATAAGCCCATCATCATCTAATTGTCTTCTTACTAATGGCTTTACACCTGTATTGACACCTGTCCCTGCTCATCCAACACACACTATATAGATGTTATAAAGTGTATAACCATAACTCCTATCTGACCAGGTGTGATCAGTTACCTTGACACCTGTAGAAGTACACTTGGAGTATCTTATAACACAACAAAACAGTAACATCCTGTAAGGTCGCTACAAATATTGCAAGGTGATAATTTCAGGATGAACAAAACAATTATCCCCGGATGTGTTTAGGGTAGAGGAAAAGGTACTTTTATTACAGGGGGATACAAATATGATATTACACCGGTTGTCGTTCAATCACGAACATTTATATGACAGGCAGTAGTTTCGTATTCTTAGTCTTCACTGAAAGGCCAAAAGGCCATGACAGTGGACGTCAAACCATTAAATAAATAATAAATTTGTATTCCAATATAAAGTGATTCCATCCAACTAAACCCACAGTCTACCATATCGTGTCATATTGAGTAAGCGGGTACCCTTTATTCACAAGGTTTTACAAAACAACAAGCCGTGACGAACGTATTGCACATATGCAGATATTAATAGCTGGTATTTAGAACTCTGTGTAGTTTGTTTCAAGATGGTTTACATGTCACAACAAATGAAAGATGGAGCCACGAAGGTGGCCTTTACGATTTTGGTTTTTATTGCAGCGACAGCAACAAGAGGTATTCTCAGTATAGTGCTTGTTAACGTCTGAGTTTATTTCAGCTAAACATGAATAGCGAATGCACATTTGATTTAAATGTACTGTAGCTTCTAACACCAGTTCAATAACTGTTTTGCATAGAGTTGAAAACTGATCTTGATATGATCAAATTTTATTAAGCATGAATTTAGCAGTATATAGACACCATGTAAAATCACCCATAACCCAGAATACAGACTCAAACGTTTTATTTAATCAATGATATTATTATTTTATGTGAATTCATCATACACCTTTAGGATATAATGAGAGACTGTAATAGTCATACACAACCGACCATTAATTTATTTGGCACTAAGTCACCGTAGTATGGAGATTTTTGGGATATGATCATATTGTCACTATATCGTAATTACACTTGCAGAACCTACACGAGTTTAAGCACCAGTATTTAGTGACAATATGTATGCATTTGTGATTTCAGGTGACTGGTTATTGTGCATTGTGTACATAACAAAGTCACATTGGCTATCAAAGATGGATACATTCGGCCTGTATGAGGAGGTGAATGCTACAGTGTCATCTGGGGGCTTGCTGGAGAACTTGAAGTTACAAAACCTACCGATATTCCTCCTACTAGCTGTCACATCATCATTTGTCTTGTATTACGGAATGGCATATGGTCTCATGTGGTTCTTCTACATTAATCGACGTGACAAGGTACCATGATAGATAATTTAGTATCCCAGATCAAGAAATAGTTTACCTCGCAGAGACAGCAGCACCTTATTTACCATACGTAACCTACCTTAACAAATACATGTTCTGAATGTTAGCTTTCACTTTTTAATTTCAACAAAAAAGGTATGAAAATTGGATCAGACATCAGATGTAGCATGTCTAAGTCCTCTCCTTCCTTCACATGCCAACAAGGGGGTAAGAAACACAGACACATACAATGACGTAATAGGTTGAGATAAGGGGAAGTGAATGCTTGATGTAAACAGGTCAATCTAACACTCTCTAAGAGATTAACCCCTGCACTGGAGATATATATTTTCAAATATTATTAAGACCGTTATTTTTATAGAATGGCATCAAATAATGGACAATGAATAATTAATATTCATATCAGATATGGAGTAATTAGTAATTTTGGATCTGTCATATATGCATAACACACTAGCTGTACACTGTTGTGGATAAAAACAATTTCAGAAAACAAAGACATACGCAGTTTGTAAGCAGGGTTACATCGACGTATGCAAATATGTGATAATGCCTTAATTAATATAAATGAGTAACATCATAGCATAACATAAACTAATAAAATCCATTGAAGCTGCCAAAAACCAATTCAATTACTGAATATAATTAACAATTAATTACTTCAGAACAAAAGTGGAATCAAAGAGTATTATGTAACAATTTATAGTACATTAAGTATATATTGTGCCGCTATATCACTGTAGTCCACCATTACCTCAATAGATAAAATAAACCTAAACATATAACAAAATATTTCTTAATTCTGTGAAATATACATGTTCCAAAATAGTAAGGGTAAATCAAACATTATATTAAAGATAATCATTTTGGCAATGATATAAAGTTTGATAAACGAAATAGGACGTCTCCATTTTGTTATAATTACAAGGGTTACAACCGTATCATATGACATTGTATACACAGATTGTTATAAGTGCAAGTATTCAAGTTCTGTTGGAGAGTCTGGGGAAAAAATACCAACATGTCAGCATAATCATAACCAAAACTCTTTTTGGTTGTGATATAAAGTCTGATAAATAGAATATATCTCTATTTGGTATATAAATACAACTACTACAACCATGCAATATGGCATTTATATGCAGGTGATAACAGGTGTAATAATTTAAATTTGACAATCTAGCGAATATCATTATGAATTAAATGATGTAAGTATCGATCATAGTTCAGATAACTGATAAAATGTATGTATCACGATTACCAACAAATACAACATTTTAAAAAACAGTTGTTTCTGATTTTGTTAAATTGATTTTTATTTGGTAGACTTTTAGATATGTGGTTAACTAAATGATACTAGCATCTAGAACAAGTCTATTTCGTTTTAAAATGGACGGGATATTTTTTTATAATAATTATTCAATTTATACTTACATAAATGAAGTAATACATGGGTTATACTAGTTTCAAAGACATACTAAAACAAAGACATACTAAAACAAAGACATATTTTTTCAATATATGAACTTACCCATCCGCTTGCCTGCCATTGTATCTCCGAATTCGTCTCTCCATGTGGACAGGATTACTACAAGTGGTGACCTTTGGTTTTCGACTTTGTTGATAGTTCCTCACAAAACAACGTGCGTCTTATTGTCTGAAGTATGAGAAACAAGAAATAAAAAGTAGTCCAGATACACCATTGAACTTTTAAGACACACAAGTGAACAGCACCATCGTCACAGACCCAACCATTTATATATATATATATATATATAGACAAATATCCAGTATATAATGTCATGGTGACTTTGTACATCTATTCTATTTCATAATTCCGATGTTTTCGTCTATTGCATTGTCATTCTTTCGATGATTTATTGTAATTAGCATGATAAGGATAAACCGGATCCGGGTTCGTAAAGCGAGCTTTAGTAGGGCGAAAGGAACGCAATACACGTAAGAGAACGGAGCGGTGAAAGTATTGTTTGAGCTTGTTTATGATAAAATGGGATGCACCAGCGCCAAATACAGTTTGTGGTAAGTTTTATAACATCCCAAAAGTCTCTTCATCTGAAATCTGTTTTGCGTTTGTAGCGTATATATTTATATATTAATGCACATGCATATAAAGTTCGTACAGATGAGTGCAATTCATACCAGAGAATATAATCTACATTTTGCTAATACGTAGATAGTCATAGTTATGTAATTAGTGCAATATGTTTGTATTTAGTTATCATTATTATACAGACGACTAATATATACTAGTACTGTCGATTTGGCGATTACTTGTAAAACTATTAGTGTTTGGTTATAATATGCTGGATAAATAAATAGTAAAGATGTGATTTAGCTATATATGTTTGTGTGTGTGTGATATAGCAGGACACAAATGTTGATTTAGTCATATTTGTGTCGTTTCAGCTCTAACCTATGATGGCGTGAGGGCAGTGGGGACAAGTACCATAGATGTATTCCTGTATGGGCAAGCACACTATATATATATTAACAAGACGGTCATTTATACAGTCCTGTGTAAGCGAGGTAGTTATTGTACTCAGTCTCGTGTGGGCAGTTTTACTACTGTATGCGGTCCTGTGTACAGAGCTGTATTGTTCATAATCTGGAGAGGGCAACCGTGTAACTCCAGATGTCCCGTGGTTGTCCGGAGAGGTGATATATGTGATGGATTTTTTTTATGGGCAAGCATTTTCATAGATGATCATATTTGGGAAAGTGAATATTATCCATAAGTGAGCAAATCACCACATTTCTTATGGTGGAGTATTGTGACCGGAATAGCCAACATCAATGGGAAGGATTTAGAAAATCCGTGGACATTTCTGTGTCGGACGTTATTTAAATTACTTCTGGGAGACTAAGAGGATATCAGTCCTATATTTTTAGCGACTAGGAAATTTACTTAAGTGAATGTTAATGATAATATGATAAGAGAATGCTTGTTTGTGGAAGTTGTGAGTGATGTGTATTTGTGAAATGTATACAATATATTTACGGGTATACATAGTGTAATAAAGTCTTGCAAATATTGTATTTTTTGGTGTTTGTGCCATTCTTATTACAGAGAAACAAGTCATGCCCGTCGAGGTTACCGCTATATACATTACAACCACATAACCGACTAAACTGCATTATGCATCTTTCTTAGACTCGTCAGGGAAACAGCTGTGTACATCATGGGCCGTGCCGCTATTTGAGAATGGATTGAAACGAGGCATGCTGGTTACCGTAAAACTCAGACTTGAAGTCCACAAGCAATGTCTATCACCACTTGCAATACCATATAAATAGCCAATACACCAAATTGGTCGAAAGAAATGAAAACGGCATCTCTCATTGTTAAAATTGGGAAGGTATTCTTATAAAAGCATAGCAAAAGCCAAATAAATACTGACATCATAATAAATGATGTATGTCCATTTTCGATATTTACACAGGCCCAGGAGTGGAAGTGCCAACCAAACAAGTTTTTGACTCCAGCGAACGAAAGACACGAGATTCTGCTTGGATCAGCCAACATGCTGTTTGGTTCTTTGGTATCAGGAGTGATTGGCTGCTATATATCAAATGGCGGTAAGTCATATCTCTTCTAAGATTTTGTTACCTTTGACGGCAGTTTATTCAATATCAAAACCTACTTTGAAGATGTGTTAAAACAATGGTCTATTCTAAGGGTAGGATGAATTAAATTAAACATTTTGTTTTCTAAGTTATGTCACCGAATGTTTTGCATTTGCATTTCATTTCATGAAATTTTATTGCTACATGTAACACTCACACACAAACACACCCACAAGGACAATACAGTAACATATGCCTGTATATACCTTATAAATATAAATACATTTTAAAACTTTAATACATGCATTGTTATAATATATAATGTAAGGGAAGTAACTCCATTAAATCTACAATGTATTATCTCAAGTTGTTGCATTTTTAAATAATTAATTCTGTTATTATTCTGTTTATTAGAGTGTATTCTGTTGACACCAGTTTAGAAAGAGTTAGTTTAGAATGAAATTTGTAAACGAATTCCCTTCCATCATCAAGGTCAGTAAGAGCATTATGACCACCACATTAGGCAACCCATTGTTGATGTTTGGACATTCGGTCTCACAAAAAATAAAGTTATAAAGGGAATTTGATTATATCGTTTGTTTAATGCAAAGAGTTGCTTCATAGTGTTATAGGCAAAATTAGTAATCCCTGGTCTCATATGCCCTCCATTCCAGTGTATCTAAGTAGTTGCATCAATATGTGTATTCAGATATCAAGATTGCAATAGAATCGCTACTAAGTCTGACTCTGTTTGATGTTGAAACAATTAGTACTGTATGGTCATAGCTATTATGAAGAATACATTCAAAGAAAGTTCGGTTGTCTTATTCGGGTTTTCTCCAGTCTGAGTTTTGATACGAAATATTATCAAATGCTTGTTTTACATTATAAACGTGTAAAACAAAGCGCAAGACCGACAAACTGCATCCGTCTTAAATAGTGGGGTCGCTGGAACTGAATAATAGTTCTAGATGTGAACTTCTGACCTTTGATAGGTAGAAAATATATTGATCTACAGACTGTCCTTTCAAATATTCCAAACTGGAAATGAAAGTGCACTTGCAGTTTTGAATAATTCAAATAATCTTAATACTAGATTATTTATTATTATATTTTGACCAATCGAGATAAGCGCAGATGTCATTACCTGTTCAGCTATTTTCCGGTTTATAGCAAAGGATCCTTCGTCACCTTCCGTCAAAAAACATTATCATCTCTTACATGGAAGGTACCAAAAGTTCCTGATTTGGCATAAAACTGGTCATTATAATCATGCATATAATAAAATGATTCTTTGAATTTAATTCTTTTTAAATGTGTAAGAAATTTCCTTTTCTATGACTTATATTCTATATTTGAAACGCCATGAAGATGATAATTCTGAAGTGCATCTTATTGATCAACCTGCACACATTAATTAGCCAGTACCTATATCACAATGAATTAATTAATTGCTTTGTACACTTATCCTTATTATCCTTACAGGTTACAGTAAGATGTATTATGGATTTTCTGAGTACGGCTGGAGTTATCTGCCCCTCTCAGCATTTGCACTGTACATATACAGCGACTGCGCGATGTACTACATCCATCGCATGCTCCATATCCCTTTTCTGTACAGACACATCCACAAGGTGCACCATCGCTACCATCAGCCCACAGCATTCTCTGCTACAGCCATGCACCCAGTGGAGTTTATCTTATACCAGGGATACATGGCTATCGTTCCTTTCATGGTCCCCATCCATCCAGGTATCAAACTATCTTTATAAGAAATAATAGGCACACATCCTTATATATATATATGTATATTTGAAAAAAAAATTAAAATCAACACAACAAATGTATTCCGGTAACGTTTTCAGGCCTAACGGCCATCTTGAGGCGATACATCTATTGTCCAGGAAAGTTGTGTTCCTGATTTTACGTGAATGAAATATAAATGTATCGCCTGAAGATGGCAGTTAGGCCTGAAAACGTTAGCGGAATACATTTGTCATGTTGCTTTTATTTTTTTCAACTATTTAATCGATACACAAAGCATCTTTAAGTTACATCTATTTATGTATCGGTGTGACAATACCGTGAAAAATGATTAAGCATTTGTCAAGCGCAATGATCTTTATACTTTTTTCTGTCAACAATGTTGTTCAGTCATCTTTTAAAAGCTTTAATCCTGAAAAGAAAAAAGATCTTCTGTTATTGACATTTCTTAATATTTCTTAAGGTACTGTGATTAGTTATATATATATCCACTGATATTCTCCAAATATTACCTATTTGAGCTTTCACGTTATTGATCCTTCTTACGTCTTTTTCGTCTTCCCTTACGTTTAGTAGTGAAATTTTCTGTATGTTTCTGCTAACTCTTGTTGCTGCATTTTCTGTGTTCCAGCTACTTGCATTCTCCAGCTTGTTTCTGCTAACTCCTGTGACTGCGTTTTCTGTGTTCCAGCTACCTTCCTTCTCCTGCTTGTTTCGGCTACCTCCTTTGAATGTGTTTTCTGTGTTCCAGCTACCTTCCTTCTCCTGCTTGTTTCTGCTACCTCCTGTGACTGCGTTTTCTGTGTTCCAGCTACCTTCCTTCTCCAGCTTGTTTCTGCTAACTCCTGTGACTGTGTTTTCTGTGTTCCAGCTACCTTCCTTCTCCTGCTTGTTTCTGCTACCTCCTGTGACTGTGTTTTCTGTGTTCCAGCTACCTTCCTTCTCCAGCTTGTTTCTGCTACCTCCTGTGACTGCGTTTTCTGTGTTCCAGCTACCTTCCTTCTCCTGCTTGTTTCTGCTACCTCCTGTGACTGCGTTTTCTGTATTCCAGCTACCTTCCTTCTCCAGCTTGTTTCTGCTAACTCCTGTGACTGTGTTTTCTGTGTTCCAGCTACCTTCCTTCTCCTGCTTGTTTCTGCTTACTTCCTGCTAACTTCTGTGCCTGCGTTTTTTGTGTTCCAGCTACCTTCCTTCTCCAGCTTGTTTCTGCTGTTCTGTGTTCAAGTTGTCTCCCTTTTCGTGTGAAGGATACTTGTTTAAGCCTGTCGTTTCCGCGTACATGAAAAATCGAACAGCGAGAATCGGGATTGGAAAATACCTAGATATGCATCAAGTATTTCACGGTTGATTTTAATATATTGACAGGAATTCTAAAATCATTCCGTTGTACATTGTGAAACTTCAGACCTTATTGTATATTCTTTACGATACATGTAATCAACCTTACAATTAAATTCTAGAAATTAATGAAAAGTTTAAGGTATATTTTTTAAGCATTGGACTTCGTTGTGTTTCAGCCATCTATATCTCTATGCTGCTATATAGCTATTACTATGGAATGCTTGATCATTCGGGGATCAAGATGGATGCTTTTTGGCCATGGCAACCCTCTTCGATATTCCATGACAACCACCACAAGTAAGAAGTCTTGTATCTGATATTATATACCTCTTTTGTAAAGGATTTTGTTTTTTGGTTTCTTCTTACCTACTTTACCTATAAAACAGCACATATTCCATAATGTAGTAAAATATTTTGTTTCTTGTGTCCGATGATCATATCTAATGTCGACAGTGTCGAGTAACTCGTTGACGATAGAAGCTTCGGTATTTATAAATTATTTCACATAATCTAAAATTAGCATTATTTCAACAATCTTAGTGTTATAAGCTTTCAATACGGAAAATTGTAAATGCTGTTTTCAGATATTTTCATGTAAACTTCGGTTTGAACTCGTACCTATTTGACTGGCTACATGACACCATGGACAAGCCAGACAGAGAGTACGCGGAGGATATATTCGGTGGTCACGGTAAACCTAAAACATCCTAAAGACCATGAAAACCCAATCGGTAAAGCGCCGGCTGTGATATGGATATACAGACTTACCTGTGCTACAGTGGCTGTGTCTTTGGGCGTGACACTTTACCCTAACTGTTCTAGGTGTCATTCGATGGACCTTCCATATAGTGTTTAGTGAGACTACTACAAGGTAGGTAACTCTGGATGTTCACGGAATGATAAAACCAGTAAACCAACAAAGTAAAACATTACACAGGACGAATGCCTTCAATCTTTATAAAAATCCTTACAAGTGCTTAGTTTACATCAATATGTCATTGGATAAAATTTAATTGCAATCGGACTGCGATTTTTGTTTTTGTTTATAGAGATATTAAGCTGTTCTCAAACTACAATTATACTTATAAAATACTTTGCGCTAAACATATATTTGTTATTTATTTTATTTAACATTTATGCATTTGTGTGAATAGCTTCATTGTGTACTATATTAGATAATAGAATGGAGATAAAAACGTAATGTATTGTCTTCGTTATTATTTATAAAAATGTACCTTTGTTAAATATATTTGAACTCCCAATGTCGTAACCTGTCTATCTGTGTTAAATATGTTTGAACTCCCAATGTCGTCACCTATGTATCTGTGTTAAATATGTTTGAACTCTCAATGTCGTCACCTATATACCTGTGTAAAATGTGTTTGAATGCCCAATGTCGTCACCTATATACCTGTGTAAAATGTGTTTGAATTCCCAATGTCGTCACCTATGTACCTGTATTGAATATGTTTGAACTCCCAATGTCGTCACCTATGTACCTGTGTAAATTGTGTTTGAACTCTCAATGTTGTCACCTTTGTACCTGTGTAAAATGTGTTTGAACTCTCAATATCGTCACCTTTGTACCTGTGTAAAATGTGTTTGTACTCACAATGTCGTCACCTTTGTACCTGTGTATAAACGTGTTTGAACTCTCAATATCGTCACCTATGTACCTGTGTAAAATGTGGGAGGACAGAAGAAATTCATGTAAACCTCCTGACTTAAGATCATTTCATTAAACAGTACTCTATTCTTTACAATTGATATGATTTCTTCCGTTTGCCACCTGGACATTAAATGGATATAATTTAAATGGCTAAATTGACGTTGGATATTCCAGTTACAGATCTGACACGAATTGGTTTATTGAAATTGATACTATAAATGCATTTACTTATATATTTAAGTATACATATATGTTTTATTATAATTTTTTGCTGATAGTTATACGAACCTGCACAGCTGTTAAATACTAATGACGCATGACCTAGCGATGGTACTGAGCTCAATGTTATGGTAATAGCAAGTTCCTGTCGACAATACTATTGCATTTCAAGCTGACGGTATATAAAAGTTTATTTCAAATGAGATACACACACACACACATATATACATTCCAGTCTAGTATTTCCAATGCTTATTAAGTCCCAGACTACAGTGTATGTATCCGTTTATCTACGTGTGCCTTATTCTAATTATCAAATAAAAAAACCAAGTGTAAATCAATTCAGTTGTTTGTTTGATGTCTAATTTTTTAAATTTTAAATGTTAAAAATCGAAAGTATGTTGATGAAGGCAATAAGTAAGTTTCATAAGCGTCCGCTATTACAATACAGGATGTAAATAAGAGAAACGTGTTGATGAAGACAATAAGGGTGTGTTATAGGCGTCCGTTATTACAATACAGGGTGTCAATTGGAGAAACGTGTTGATGAAGGCAATAAGGGAGTTTTATAGGCGTCTGTCATTACAATACAGGATGTAAATTAGAAATGTGTATTGATGAAGACAATAAATGCTATTAGCGACAGTTACAGGTATCATTATCTGATTAAGAAATAGTTTATTTCCTGTTACTATGTAAATTTAGTATTGCCCATGCCTGTTTCAATATACTAGGTGGGTTCGGTACTAGTAATCCCGTTTTCTCATCACTATTCGCACCGAGTTAAATATTGATGACGGGTGATAACGACGGAGAAGGCGGCAGTGACACTACCGATACATACCGATGTAGTTCACATCGTCTTCCTTCAAGTGAATCCTTACATTCTCTGTTTTATTCATATGTTGTCCTCGTTATGTCGAACTTCAGATATCATTCGGATTTTGTTTACTAGTCGAAGTGTCGATTGTTCATATTTGCTTTCGTTTTTTTTTTTTTTTTTTTATATAGAAACATAATTATGTTATTTACTCCAAGTCGGCAATAACGTATAAATAAATGCATGAATGCTAAATTAATTTACATATTTCGAACGAGTCTCTGGCTCGAAGTTTGTAGAGCAGCTACAGTAGTTTACGTTTGTATGACACTGAAACGTAACACGCGGTTGTTGATTTTTTCTTATTGATTAGAAATAGCTACAGTATATCTGTACGTGTATATGTACTAGTACACAGGAAGTTTCAAATGAATCATGTCTAGGATTTAACTTGTATCAAAGTTAGAAAAAGATACACTGGTGACTTTTGAAACTGTATTTAACCATTGACTATAATCAAAAGGGAAGCGATACGCATAGGTAGGAGTGATCAGGGATTTTTAGGTTAGCCTATGTGCTGTCCCCATTTCAATCTTTATCATACGTAGATAATGCCTACAGTGATTATATCCAGCTTTGATAAAATCATTGACTGAAATACACGAAAAGATGTTGTCAACTTAATTGAACTTCAACCGAAATACGTCGTCGACACCCAACAGCCTAGAAATTCAGCTAGATCTTTTATTTTTTGCTAAACATAAGCGACACGTGCGATAAGCAGAAACCCCGAAACATCCTTAATAAAAGTTTAAAAAAAACCTTTGTAAAACACGAGGACGAAGTATGATTGATTGAAGGTAAACACTGACTATCAAGGTCACGCTATATATAGTCGGATTAATTTTGTATTACAATATCAATCCACTTAACCTAAATAATAACGACTCTGTAACAAAAGTTTAAATATTAATAAGCGGAACTTGTGTGGAAATGGACGGAAATATTCCTTTCCGACTGTGTGTGTTTTATTAATTATCATCCATTTTAGTAATGTACAAATAAATAAAATAGAAAATAGCGGTTGAAGTTGTACAACTATATGGTCGCAAATCAATTAAATTAGAAATAAGCAATATATCTAATAAAAACAGTCAATATCATTTTCTTACCGTTCTTCGTGGAGGAGTTTCAGGTTCGAGTATGTAAATCTTTTATCATTGTATGTTATAACACATTTTTTGGCATCACAGTATGATCAGGGTGTTGAAGGAATGCAGGAGTACCGGTTAGGGTAGTCTCTCGTATTGACAGTTTTGAAGAAATTTCCATTTGTTTATAAAGGTATTTCCGATATTTGAAACATTTAAAGTAATAAGCAGTTAATAATATCTTTTATATCATTGTTACTGTTTATCACAACCAGTCTAACCACGGATAGCAACAGGATTTTAACTTTGACGATAGAAGAATTTACTCGTGAATTTTTATTGATATCGATAAAACACCCACCCCTCAGTCCCCCCGATGTAGCCTACTCCCTATTCTTGGTTAGTTACAGTTTTTTTGTCTCCTTGACTCCTTAATCTGTCCACACTTATTTAGAGCTAGTAACCGAGGAAATTCTGGTCATGTGTCAAGCTGAGAATGCTTGCTCGGAGCCTGATCGGTACCTAGTACCAGTTTAAACAATACAAACAAGGTCGTTAGTAAATTTATCTGTTTCCTCCATGTGATATCGAATACGTAAAGTAGGATGTTAATTGAATTGCTCATGATTGTCAACTCTCCTTTCTTAATCAACACACACATGTCAGTCATCATATAAATTTTAAAAAAATACCAGTGCCCGCTGATATGATTTGATGAAGTCTGATTTATTTTCTTCAACGTGTCATTGACATCATGAAAAACTAAAGCGTCATCCCGAGATCCCAACATTCGTGTTGTGAGGGCGTGAACTCGAAACAGATATAAAATCTCTAACATCAGTATGTTATCTAATTTCCCTTCAGGATGCTTACTACTTTGTTTTCTTTCTTTCAAATTATTATACTTTAATGGATAAAGCTAGCTTTTACTCATTAGATTTAGAATATGTTTATTCATTTCGTCCACTTTTATCATTTAGACTAAACTCTTCCGTTAGCATATATGCACAGTTTGTAACAAATTTATAAACACAGTGCCATATTGACCATTCAACATGTGTATGTTCAGAAGAAAATTAAATTTATTTTAAATTTTGCAAGACGCTATATATATAAGGTGAAATATGATAAATAGGTCATGGGAAGTATCGATATGTACATGTATGTCAAATATTCACGGAGTCGTTATCAAATATAATCCGGGTGTGCTGGTCTGTGTTTCTCTGTAGGATTTAAACTTATTACATACTGGTCTGCTTAGGTGTAGTCGATCACGTCTAATACACTGGAATAGAGAGGTCTTTCAACTGAATTGTTTTGCTCTTAAACACGACATAATTTCACAGCGTCCTTACTAGCGTTGTTACCACTGAATTATTCAGGCTAAACGGTCATGTAGCTAGGATACGTTGACATACAGTAGTAAAATTGTTGTATAATTGGAGCGATTCAAATCAAGTGGTGGAGTTGCGTGTAAAATAATAGATTTACAATAATGATCTCAAAGGAAAACATTATTAATATGTTTTGTTTCCTATATTTCAAAAGACAATTGATCAAGATATGCTATCATTACGCATTGTCTTGACATCTGTGCTGTAATAATAGAACTGACTCAACATATTTATGGCGGATATCGATATATTTTAATGATATACATTCAGTTTTTCTAAACAGTCACTAAATGAGTAAAAGAATAAGAATATTGTCTCCGATAGGCCTTTATAGCAATAGTATGCGTCGCCCATACAGTGATTCCAGTCTGCAATAATACACATACAATGTATCTGTGCGACGTGCCGTTACAAAACACGTCCTTTCGGAGTATCTCCCGGCTTTTTGTGCACACGTGTGTAACAACTAGCTACCGTGGTCTACAATGAAAATGTTATCAGTTTGCCAAAATGCAGTCAAAAAGGAGGTCAGTAAATAGTTTCGGGTAGGCTAATTCTGGAAGTCATTTATCAGTTATTTACTCGTCCATGTATATAATCAGTGACTAAGACTGTTGCAAGCTCCATTTCCATGCCGGCGTCACCTCAAAATACAGAATGGTTGAATTGACGGAACAAACCAAAGATGGAGCGGCGAAGGTTGTATTTATGATCGTAGTTTTCATCGCTGCAACAGCTACAAGAGGTAGAGTATATACGTTGATCAATAAATATGCTTTGAAGTGCATATAGGATCTATTGATTTTAAACATGTTCTTTTTCAGAAGAAACTCCGTGTGTTCACTCCAGTAAAATCGATACTATATTACCTTGACGCATTCGTCAGACAGTATCCGTGATACATTTTTATATTACATATGTTAATACTACGATTCACCAATCAATCAGTCAATCAATAAATCAATAAATCAATCAATCAGTCAGTCAGTCAGTCAGTCAATTATTGATTTTCCCACAATTCTAAATAGTTTAGATTTTGAACCAGAGTATCCAATCTTGGTATATATTTAAGTTAACAGTATCGGGATATTTGTAATGGTACCATTAAAAATCACTTTTCTACATGACCATTGATAAACACGTTGCCTAAAACATAATATCACAATTCAGGTTATATCTATTGTAAAGGTTTCACTAGTACGACAGTAAGCTGACAAATCATTGGAGGGTTTGTACTGTTGTTAGTTCGCACCATGGATAAAATTTCAATCGGAACGCTTCGGGTCTTTCTATAATATGAAACGTGAGCCAACAGAAATTTCTGGTAAGAATGTGTTCAGTGAAGAGAAATTATTGCCTAAAAGACTTAACAATTCACATATTACGTTGTCGTGTGCGTTACATTGATATATGTATCGAAATAAAATGTTTAAATAAAGGTAGAGGGATTTTTTGACAAGAAAACTAAAGATGTACATTTGAGTAAATATATGGATGAAAATGCAAATGAATGGATGGTAACGTATAGGTGTAAATATATGACTTAAAATATAGATACCGCGAATAAAGGGGGGGGGGCATCATGGTTAAATGAAAAGCATATGAATCCCACGTAAACATACGAATTACCATAGAAACATATGAAATCACACGTGAACATACAAATTCCAACTTAAGATATAATTTCCCATGCAAACATTGGAATTCCCAAGTAAAGTTGCGAATCCATATGCCAAAATACTAATTCACATATAAACCCGTAAATCTACATGTAAATATATGATTTCCAAAGCATACATTCAAATTACCTTTAAAAAATTGAATTTCAATGTAAAGATACGCATTCTTATGAATTCCAAAGTAAACATACAAATTCCCACATACACACACAATGTAAACCAATCGATTAACATACGGATTCCAATGTAAACATATGTATTCCCATGTGAACATATGTATTCCCATGTGAACATATGTATTCCAATGTAAACATATGTATTCCCACGTAAACATATGGATTCCAATGTAAACATACGGGTTCCAATGTAAACATATGTATTCCCATGTAAACATATGTATTCCCATGTAAAAATATGTATTCCCATGTACACATATGTATTCCATGTAAACATACGGGTTCCAATGTAAACATATGTATTCCCATGTAAACATACGGATTCCAATGTAAACATATGTATTCCCATGTAAACATATGGATTTCAATGTAAACATCCGATTCCAATGTAAACATATGTATTCCAATGTAAACATATGGATTCCAATGTAAACATATGGATTCCCATGTAAACATATGTATTCCAATGTAAACATACGGATTCCAATGTAAACATACGGGTTCCAATGTAAACATATGTATTCCCATGTAAACATATGTATTCCCATGTAAACATATATATTCCCATGTAAAAATATGTATTCCTATGTAAACATATGTATTCCCATGTAAACATATGTATTCTAATGTAATCAAATGGATTCCAATGTAAACATACGGGTTCCAATGTAAACATATGTATTCCCATGTAAACATACGGATTCCAATGTAAACATATGTATTCCCATGTAAACATATGGATTCCAATGTAAACATACGGATTCCAATGTAAACATATGTATTCCCATGTAAACATATGTATTCCAATGTAAACATACGGGTTCCAATGTAAACATATGTATTCTCATGTAAACAAATGGATTCCAATGTAAACATACGGGTTCCAATGTAAACATATGTATTCCCATGTAAACATACGGATTCCAATGTAAACATATGTATTCCCATGTAAACCTATGGATTCCAATGTAAACATACGGATTCCAATGTAAACATATGTATTCCCATGTAACCATATGTATTCCAATGTAAACATACGGATTCCAATGTAAACATATGTATTCCCATGCAAACATACGGATTCCAATGTAAACATACGGATACCAATGTAAACATATGTATTCCAATGTAAACATATGTATTCCCATGTAAACATATGTATTCCCATGTAAACATATGGATTCCAATGTAAACAAATGGATTCCAATGTAAACATACGGGTTCCAATGTAAACATATGTATTCCCATGTAAACATATGGATTCCCATGTAAACATATGGATTCCCATTAATTCGCGCGTAAACATACAAGTATGGTGCTTTACCGTGACGCAGTACCTATTGCAGTTCATCGCCTTGGTCAGTCTAATAATGACGATAGGTAAACGTGCATTCAGAGTCACTGTGTATAAAATAGAACGCAGAGTTTGTTTACTGTCTATGTCACTCGCGATATCACGATTAAATCTGGGAAATATGAAAAAAAAGATTAAATCAGTTGCCGCATTACTGATTAATATGCAACATTATACATATGTATCATCCTGAGATACGTTAAACATTGAGATTACATTTTGCCAGGTCTCCAACACTATCAAGTGTGACTCTTCTTTGTCAATCATTTATTATCAGCGCACACTTATACCAATTTTTGAGGATAGGATTGAAGATTCCTATGATAAGTTGGTACATGTGTGCGCTGTGTCAAAGTTGCATTTGAATCCGGGAAAACGCCATGTTTTAATGCTGTTGCTTAAGATAGCAACTTTGTTCAGCTGAAAAAATATAACGCACGTCACATATCCTTGATATTTTTTCAAATAATTAGCATTTGGATATAACTCCATGAAATTACAACCCGAATTTTGTCGTTTTTCCAGTGGTTGGTTACATTTAGGTCAAATCAGGCGGTTACACGCCGTACTTCTTTCCAAGTACGTAAACAACCGAATTTAAAAAATAACGAAATATAACGCTTAAGTCTTTTTGAACGCACATACGTTTGGATTTGTATGATTACATACACAAAAATACGGTTCATGTAAACCTCTATATCTTGATTTGGGACCAGTGGCGTATAATGCCATATTCGATAAAAATGTTCCTCTTGTTTTTTAAGCTCACCTAGTCCGAAGGACGCCATGGCGCGGTGTCCGTTACCTTTTTACGAAAACGCTAATAGTCAAATGTGGTCAGAAGCATCCTTTTGAGAAGAGGAACCAAATTTGTATAAATATTGGTTCTCTTCCTCAAGGGTAGGGACCCAAAAGGCAAATTTTGCAAGTTCTTTAAAATCCTACTCCGCTTGTAGGAATGAATTGATATACAGCTGAAGGGGAATCATTCTTGTATAAACATTAGGTTTCAGCCCCTAGGGTGGGAGGGGAGGGGCCAAATAAGGGCAATAGAACAAAGTCTTTGAAATCTTACTTTTCGTGTAGTAATGGTTGGATTTTTACCAAATTTGGTATGAAGTATTCTTCAGTGAAGTTTAATCAATTATATATATGTAGGTTTTGCCCCCGGAGGTTGGAGGGGCAAATAGGACAAGTAGAGCAAATTCTTTAAAATCCTACTGCCGCTGTACGATTAATCGGATTTTGCCCAAAATTTGTTTGAACTATTCTTCGGTAAAGGGGAATCATATTTTTCCAGACAACTGTGGCGGGAGGGCGGTAGGGGCGGTGTCCGATAAGGGGAAATAAAGCAAATTCTTTAAAATCTTAAAACTCCTGTAGGAATGATTGGGTTTTGCCCAAATTTTGTTCTGAAGTTGAACCAGTTTTGTGTAAAAGGTGGTCTTGTGCCCCTGGGGCGAGAGAGGCATTGCGTTTTATTATTAAAATAAACCATTCTTTTGTAGAAATATCAGAATTCTGTCCTTATTTGGTTGGAAGCTTACTAATGTTAAGGGGAACCAATTTTTGTATAAACTTTGGGTCCCATTCTTCTGAGGCGGGATCCAATAGTGGAGATAAAGGAAAATCCCTAAAATCCCCTTTTTTGTGGGAATACTTTGTCGTTGTCCTGATTTGGTCTGAAGCATACTTAGCTGTAAGGACCAACATCTGAGATGTGGGGCCGAAAAGGGGAATTGTAAATTTAAAAACAAAAAACAAAAAAAAAAAAACAAAAAAAAACATCTTCCGTACGAGAATTTATTGTCCAAGTTTGATCAGAAACAATTTTCATTATTTGCCTCATCATCTGTGAACATTGTCGTTACAACACTTACATGGGCGTATCATCATTATTTGATGTAAAGTCTAATACTAGCACATTGTCTAATGAAAACAATTGTCATTTAGATCAACAGCAGTATTACGATTTGCTTTTTGTTGTCGTCGTTGTTGTTGTTGTTATCCCTGTATCGCTATATCACAATTTAAATACGTTTATTAGTGCGACGTGCCTTTGATAAATTCACCCTTCACCTGCATCACATCGCTTAGATATAACCGTAAGGTTTTGTAATACACTCAAGTAATATGATGCGGGCGGGGAAGGCAAAGCGACATCTGCTGACCTACAGTTGTGAACACTTCGGTGTATAATAACTAAGGTCATGTTTCATAACTACAACAATGCAGATGACCATAGCGTGATAGGGCAACACAAAGTACTTAGGTCAGACTTGACCTAATATGACGAAAGTGTTATCACCAATAAAATACGTCTATTGCTGATTAGCTAAAAGTTGTAATGTGCGACATTTTCAAGAAATACAAACACAAATTTGATCAATTAATGTTTATTCCAATGTCGTGGCACACATAACAAATATAATTGTTTGATATCTGTACTCTAAGATGAACTTCTTATTCTGTTCACTTTTTTCAGTATTAATAAATATGGGTGGCGCAGTGATAACGCACTCACCTTTCACCAATCCGATCGGGGTTCGATACCCTGAACAGACGTGAAAAGGTGAGAGGTTACCTGCCCGATCACGTGGATTTTCCTCGGATATTCCGGTTTCCTCCCCAGTAAGAATTCCCCGCGCGCTTCAATCAGGACCAACAAGAATAATTAATATAAGCTGAAAGCTTGTTTCATTATTGTTGTAAAATATATAAAGTTTATATTTAAATTGTTTTTAGTATTGTGGTTCACACGAGGAAATGTACTTTAGATAGTGTTTACAATAACAATTAGCCGTGCTTTGAAAACTCCCAAATGTCCTTGTTGTGAACTAAAACATTACACATATATAGCATTGTAACAATTACGTTGCTGTCAACAAATTCTGTCAATAACATGCGATACGTGGATGTATAGGGTCTTGTAGTCACATTAATTCACGACAATTTGTGTACAATTTCTTCTGTAGGTGATTGGTTGTTGTTTGTGGTGTACTTAAGCAAATCCCGATGGCAAACGTTGATGAATACTTCCAGTTTACACGAAGTGGTGAATGCTACAGTGTCTTCTGGAGACGTGGGCTTACTTGAAACCTGGAACTTACAAAACCTTCCGCTATTCCTATTTCTAGCAGTGACGTCATCATTTGTGATGTACTATGGTATTGCATATGGATTTATGTGGTACTTTTACATCAATCGACGTGACAAGGTATAGTTTTAGTTTAGTCTGATATCCGGCACAAAGGCCAGTTCAAGATAAGTCACTGAGTGGTTTAATCTTGTTTGAAATACAGCTTTTATCGCTTGAATTTAATACTGTTAATTGTAAGAATTCAGTCATGTCGCTCTCATGTCTACTGACATAAGTAAAAAAAATGTGTGGTTAGTTAAGAAACACAGTAACAATTATGAAATTGTTCATATCAATCACATATAATACATTGGGTTTAGATGTCAAATATCAACATATACAACGTATTAGCAAAAAATGACATTTCTGTCCCATCTGGGTCTCTGTATCACTATCTGTATTTCTGCTGATAAAGAATGCTTAGTCATACTGTAGGATTTTACATCTGCGTATTAAATTGTAAATACATGTCAGTGCCCTACCACATGGAAAATCGCTCGAATAGCTATCAACATCACACTTTCGACAGAACTGCTGATCCTACAGACGTCTAGTGATCAGTGTTTGGACCTTTTTAGCATTACTTCCGACTCAACAAGAAATTTATATATTAATCAAGTGACATCTGATCACAACAGTCAATATCACGAGACGTCTTCTATTCTAGACAAGCCCTGTTGACCTTTTGACCTCAAATGCACCAAAAGTTTAAGGATTACTTATATTCTGGAGACTTGTCTGTTCATAACCATCACACATAAACTGACCATTAAAAATCACCGAATGGAATTGTTTATTGCATCCAGTTTCACTCCCTGTATTGTCACCTGTGTAATGGGTACATAGATATATACTTATCACATATGTCATGCCGATGTACATAAAGTTGGTCAGTGATATTATTCTTTTCAAATGCATGTTAATCATGTTAATGGACATACATTGCTCTCTGAAAAATATGCAACTTTAACAAATATGTCGAACGATGCAAAGTATCACTCATTATTATAAGTATCTTGTAAAGTTCTCACCGACACTGTATGACCGTAAGATGCAATGGATTTCACTAGAAATCCGATTAATGTATAACCTGTTATAAACTCGTCGTGTTGAAATTTAAATATTCTTACAATTAAGAGTGATTAGATTACAGCAACGTGTAAAATGCTGAAGGTCAGATCAGCATGGATTTTATCAATCAATAATACCAAGTCTTAGTCACATACAGAACCTAAAATGTAGTTTGACCCATTAACCAATCAAAACATATTTACAATTACAATATGCAGCGTTTTCACTTACCCATCAGTTTGCCCTCTGCTTGTACCACCGAATTCGTCTCTCCATTATGACAATGTTTTTGTTATTGACGACATGCAATTTCCGTTTTCGGTGTTCATATTTTTTTCATCTATCCAAACAATGACGTTGTAAAAACGACCAGATGTTTTGAGTATGAATGGACGAGATATGATAACATATCTGCTAATAGTTCCGGTACACCTTAGCGAATTTTGTACATGTTTGACCTGAAATGCCATTCCTTATCGCTTACTCTGTTCCGGTTGTTATATATTTGTAACCTCGCTGAAGTTTTCATGTTGTTGGTTATGTGTTGACGGTAACTTTATTTTCAGATGTAGCTGTGAAATTGAATTAATTAAAGAAACTAATCTAGATGTGAAAATCCTGTCTTTTTTATCTACTGAAACTATGTTCAGCTTTTATATTCAAGTTGCCTCTCCATTACGGTTTAAGTACATATCGTATTTTTACACAGGCCCACGAGTGGAAGTGCCAACCAAACAAGTTTTTGACTCCAGCGAACGAAAGACACGAGATTCTGCTTGGATCAGCCAACATGCTGTTTGGTTCTTTGGTGTCTGGAATAATTGCCTGCTATATATCAAATGGAGGTCATATCTCCTCATAGTTTATTACATCATAATGGATTTCTTCTACAAGTGGTTAAATGTGTGATCTTGAAATATACACGACTTATATGTACAAAGGCAACCATTTACTATTTAGAGATAGAGCACACTAAATGTTTTAACTTTCAATTGCAAATTGCCCGTCGCCAAGTGTTTGATATAAGGCATTTTCATGATACGCCATTTACATAACAAATTTATAATCATATATATATCTGTCTTCATAGGCTACAGCAAGATGTACTACGGACTTTCAGACTACGGATGGAGTTATCTGCCCTTCTCTGCGTTTGCAATGTTCCTATACAACGACTGTCTAGCCTACTACCTCCACCGTCTGTTTCATTACCCTTTCTTGTACAGACACATCCACAAGGTTCACCACCGCTACCATCAGCCTACAGCATTCTCTGCCGTAGCCATGCACCCGGCAGAGTTTGTACTTTACCAGGGATACTTAGCCGCCATTCCTTTCATGGTGCCTATCCACCCAGGTAAATACACCATGTGTATCCTCTGTTCTTTAAAGACATAAACATCCAATCATACATGAAATGTTCATGAAGTTCTATAACTTGCTGTGTCTGTTTTTGTGTATTTTGCAATGAGAATGATAACTGCTCACGAACGAAACATGGAAACTATTTGATTTTTGTTTGTATATGAATATGTTAACAAGTTTTTATCAAAATACTCGAAACAGAAAAAAAGCACCCAAAGACCTTGACATGAGAATCAGACATAGAACATGCTTTCCTGAAGTGTAACTTTGTACTGTTGTCTGAAGGAAACTTCTTACCGAATGCGATAAATCTATTTCTAATGCTCTCATTGTTTCATCATTAGACAGTACAATATCTGAAAAACACCATACGGATAGCTGTCAGTATTTCTGTCAGGATGTATGTACCACATGTTAATAGAATTGCAGAAGCTGCAGTAACATTTCTGAATGGCAAATCTGACATAGAAATCATAAGTACATTCGATATTAACCGGTTGTTTTAGTGAAATGCAATCTCACTGTAGTTGGTACATCTTGGACAGCTAACAAGCGATATCTAAAAGCGTGTTGCCGTGAATTAATGTTATTTCATCTCGTTCTTTCACGAAATAACGTTCGGCAATTTTGTATAAATTAAATAACCATACATTGAATAAATTTGGTGTGTATAATTTGTTAATTAACATACTGGTAACATTCGTATCACTAATTACTTCAATTCATAGCGATGGTTATTCGAAGTAAGATTAAAACATTACTACCTTATTACTGAGAGGATATATATTGTAATATTCACATAGGTATTGTTACCCCCACAACTACCGCCCAAGTTAGCTCGAGTTACAGCTTTTGACAAGTAATGAACGATCAGAATTAAAACAAAACTCTACCTAGCAAGGTGTTGTCAACTAAACGCGTTTGCTGCTCGGTAGTTTGCCTGTTAGTTCCGTTGTTTTACACCTTGTTCTCATTTGGGAACATGACGTAACTTACTTGGATTGACCAAGATTTACTAGACTAATGTCGTCGATGAAGCATTAATCTTCCGGAACACGTGTTCTCATTCTTCTTGTGCTTTTTCATGAGTATCTCTGTGAATCTTTCTTTTGTTTTTTGTTTACACAGATTTCGTTTGAATTATGATTACGTTGACATGATGATATTTTCTTGTTGTTTATTTTTTTATTTGTTTATATCGACATTATTGTAGTTTTGGGAAATGTTAAGGGGCTAAGATACCCTTATTTGAAATGTTTGATGTGTTCTGCTTAGTTCCTTACCAACAAGTACCAAACAAGACATTTTCCCGACTGACTGACACTCAGTCCTTTCTTCCTCTTCTCTAGTGTATCCTCTTTCTTTCAAGAATATGATGACAAACTCTGTATTTCTTTCATGACTGATTTGAAAATCACTCAATAATTCAGATCTGGCTTTACTCAAGACATATAAAACTCCAAATAGTTCGTGTCTCGTGCGCCATTAGACATTGAAATGCCAACTATACCGTTAAGTTCGTGTATTGTTACGTTGCTGTGAGCTGTCTCATTTGTGTTTCAGCTGTGTATGTTCCCGTTTTATTGTATACGTATTACTACGGCCTAATGGATCACTCAGGTGTCAAGATGAATGCGTTTTGGCCATGGCAACCGCCATCACAATTCCATGACAACCATCACAAGTAAGTTTTGTTCATGTCCGAATATCCGAAAAATATAAACCTTGTGGAAATTAATAAGTTGATTTTTATACACTCAATAATTTCATTAAGCTAGAGAGAGTTATGACATTGGTTCCTATGCTAGCAAAGTCAGTATTGTTGCAGAAACATATATTGATGAAGAATCCATATACTGAAATAGAAACACACGAGCTGTTTAAAAATATTTGAATATCACATTTAAATAAACATTTCAACGAAGTGTTAGGCGAATGATAACAAATTTCCATTATACAGGTGTTTGTTATTGACCATTCTTCGGTGATACTCGTAAATATCCAAATGATCGAATGCTATTTCTAGGTATTTTCATGTGAACTTCGGTTTCAACTCCTACCTGTTTGATTGGCTACATGACACACTGGACAGACCGGACAGAGAGTACGCAGAGGATATATTCGGAGGTTTCGGGCGACCAAAAGCCACGAACAAAACAAAGGTTCAATAGCTGAAGTCATCATATCCAATGCAAATTTAGATATTATATTTATTCCACTCTTTTGTTCTCTAATGTACGTGCTATTTATTTCTTCAAAATGTTTTTATGACATTCCACAGTCCTTGCCGTATCAAATTTTTTAACGAAACCTCAGGAGATGTGAGTTTATTCACTTCTATTGTACATGGGGTGTTGTTTTGCCAGTCACACTATTTTACATAAAGCTGTGATATTATGTTATACTGCTATAACCATTAAACTCCCTACAGTATTATCATATACTGCCTACTATACCTAATCACATTAGGATACAACTAAAATTACCATCTGATGATGAAAACCATGAAATCTATGTCATATTAATTGATATTCTATTTATTATTGATGTAAACTCACCTTGCTCAGTTAATTGCCAACAACATTATAAAACGCAAGTGTGTGTTCATAAAGACACGAGAAAATTGATCGTTTATCAGGAACTTTGGTAATTATAGAAACATTTCAAATTGCAAACTTGATAAAAAATGCACTGCTTCCGCGTGATTATATCATGTGACATCTATCGTAAGCAATATGGCGTTAGAGTATTTTTAATATTTATTTTTTATCTTGATATGTAAACGACAGTTGAAAATACTGATGTTATCAAGGGTATGCTTAAACGTTGAGATTATAGGTGTATGTATTCGTTTCAATCAGTGATGATTATGATTTTGTGTATGAGGAACGGAATCTGGCTGATTTGGCTGATACGATATCAAGATGTGTACAATAGCACGAGTAATGATGTTTTGTCATTATGAAAATATTGTACAATTCATGAAGCGAAATCAACCCAAGATCGTGTAATGAAATACAGCGAATTGCATCGGCGAATTTACTATTGGGTGACAGTATTTTGCTAATTAATATTTAAATGGTGTTGATATCGTTATGAACTTTTATTATTTTACTAATTAATATTTTAATGGTGTTGATATTGTTTATGAACTTCTGCCAAAAAGTACCTATGTGCGTCATACCTTTAAGCAAAAGCTAATTTTTGTTATTTCGTTCAGTATTAAAAATATGTAAAAACAAGTCTGGAATAACATCAGACAGACTCTGGGAAATTGTCTTCTGTGTTTGAAGACGATAAACTGGTGCCAGTTCTAGATAATGAGATTAGTAATTATATAAATGATTAGATAATTTTACATTAATTATATATCATAAGAATGGTAATTATTTAAATGTTAATAGGTTTTACATTAATTCTCATTATCTTTGCGATTTATTTTCACTTTAACAATCCTTTTGAAACGAAATTCACAGATGAAAGGTTAATAAACATTTATCACATATTCAATTATTGTGACAAATATGGAAGTAGACGTGAAATGATTAATTTGATGAGAATTTTTTTTCTAATTAGTAAATTGTAGCAGTATAGACTGATTGGTGAACATTTCATGTACTAGTAAATATTGCGTTTTATAAATGTGATGTTGATGATGTTGATATCAATGCAAATGATGACTTCGTTGAATACAGATTTATATTGCACAAAATATAGCAAATCAGGGTGACTTTATGACTAAAGCTAGTAACACGAATGCTTGCAAAGTTGAATGACGATGGTTTTCCTCCAAATGAAAACAATCTGACTAACTTTGTTTATATTTAGTCATAAAGTGACATGTTTATGCTAATTCTGTTATCTTTTGTTGTGTTGTTTTTCTGGTTCAATTTCAATGAAAACAGTGTAATTGATACAACAACTTTATACAACATTGTAACAATTAAGACAAAAGTTGACAATGTCTTTTTCTTCTTAAAAATATATGTCGTTTTATAAACGTGATGTTGATGTTGATATCAATGCAAATGATGACTTCGTTAAATGTAGATTTATATTGCACAAAATATAACAAATCAGGGTGACTTTATGACTAAAGCTAGTAACACGAATGCTTGCAAAGTTGAATGACGATTGTTTTCCTCCAAATGAAAACAATCTGACTAACTTTGTTTATATTTAGTAATAAAGTGACATGTTTATGCTAATGATGTTATCTTTTGTTGTGTTGTTTTTCTGATTCCATTTCCATGAAAACAGTTAGTGTAATTGACACAACAACTTTATACAACATTGTAACAATTAAGACAAAAGTCGACAATGTCTTTTTTCTTCTTAAATATGTTCCTAGTAAATGCATGTAGGTTAAACACTAGTACGTGTACATAAGGCCTTTCCATCATAAATTTTAAAATATATTTTGTTATTGACTTGATATATTTGTCATTGTCTTTCTATAGATAGCATCTTATATTTTTTAAAATGGTAGCGATTTTCATATGCAGTTAATATACATGTACCAGTTAACACAGCGGTGAGTTGTATGAGAAATTGAGAAAAAATCATATGTTGTATTGCTTGATTTTGAAACTTTTATTCATTTTGAATTCTTCCGAATGAAACGTTATTTTCTAGCTACTAAAGAAAATTACTCGTATAACTTCTAAACGAATCACCAACCAGGACGTTGCTCGAAACAGATATATGACATTATATTTTAATCTTTGTTTTGTTCGACTCCTCTTAAGAATTGAAGAGTTATGTACCTTTGTTTGCACGCTCTTCTTCGACAGGATTTTACGGGATATTCATCGAAATTACAGTTTAAAAAACACTAAATGAAATTGATTAATTGATTCTTGTATGTTTTTGTTCAGATGTAAATCAAGGAATTAACCGTCTTCCGAGATGTTTATTTGGGAGAGCTTAATCGGGCTTCAGCTAGATAATCATTTGATGGCATGTGTCAGATTGCATGTGTGTCATTAATATCTATGAGTCAAAAACACCTGACAGAAATATCATATTTAAATGTTTCAAGTTACCGTTATAAACGTTGACGTTAAGGAAAGAGTACATGTATTGGCAAAACTGAAGTAAACTGTGTAAAAGGGAAGCATGCAATTTAGAGATTATAGTACATTACATCACCTCCTTATGTCAGTTTCGCGTGTGTTAATGTATGTTAAGTATAATTAGCTATATTGTTCGTGCATAAGCCACATTACAGACGCATAAGTATAATATTTTAGGAATATCATTCTATTAAAACATTTAAGCAGTATTTTTTAATTAAGACTCCGAATGCATCAATCAATTTTTCTTGTACATTTGTATCACGACGATGTTATGGACATAACAATGACAGTCTTTTCCAAGCGATTGCTTGTATATACAGGAATGAGTAATCCATTTTGCTCTCTTCATTGTATTAAAAATCCATCGGTAAAAGAGAGAATAGAAACCCGAAGAAATTGAAAGGGAAAATAAGCAATAGAATAACAATAAAATAAATGAGCAAAAAGCATAGCCACAAAATGGCGAATAGTAATAAGGATTACATGGTCCGTACATAAGTGTGTGTAATTCAATATCTGATGCTTAATATCGCCCCTTGAGCCAGTTTTCCGTGTAAGTGGGAAATATTATAAACATATTGATATACATGAAGGAAGTATCCAGAGCATTTCTTACAGAACACGTTTTGGAAAACCAAGCTGTGTACACGTCAGTGTTGGTTTCTGCAGACAATATTTACCAATTACAGATAATTCAGCTTTACTCAAATCGATACCAAACTTTTCGCTGAGCTAGACCATTAGATGTTAGGTAATACAGAAAAAAGATGAGGTAAAATAAGATTGCGTTGTCATTCAACTGCTGGAGTGTTTGTAAATGAACAGTTTGGATGCAGTGGACTTGAAGTAACTGCTCAAAATGTCGGATACATTTCTGAATTGAAAGTATGCTGGGATGTAAGTAAACTTCTTAAGTAAAATATTGCTTATTTTAATAGCATCCGCTCCCTTATTTGCAAAATCAATCTTCCAAAATTACTTATGCAACGATGTGGTGTAGCAGTGCCAAGAAGTCTAATATAGTGTTCTTCACTATGTCTAGGGCTCTGACATTTCTGTCTCATTCCAATGACTGGAAAGAATTTGTCGAAAAATGAAAAGAAGAGCTTGATGTCGAGCACTTCCCGCTTTCCTATCAACACTTATTTTATTTCACCACCCACATTCATCGAAGTATGCTGATGTTGATATCTTTGTTTTTTCTTTAATGACTGAGAATATGATTTCAAATGGTAAACAACATGATGTATTATATCCGTATTATATATAGAATGTTACCTGAAAGTCATAAAACGCTACAAGTTACACGGTATACACCACTAGTATACGGTTATGGTATACAAATGTGGTCTCTCCATTGGTATATTACATTATGTTTATTATCTCTCCGGCATTAGAGAGTGTTAATGTTCTATTGTCATGTTCCCAGAGCTACATGGTATTAAAGTGATAATTTCCTAGCACGTCCCAGCAGGACGTATTGTTGAGGTGATAGATTTAAAGTTTCCTCTGCTTGTGGCTATTAATAACCTCGAACAGCCACAGCTTATGGTGATTCGTCACAGACAGGGGATTTAACAGGTGTGATCCTTTGTAACATCAAGCCGTAAGGTATTTTCTGTCGCACCTCATTGTAATATATGAACACAAGTTAGATTACTTTAAATCAGGTATCTATATACTTATGAAATTCTGTGGAAGACTTTAAACGACACATAATTTAAAATAAAAAGTATCAGAAAAGACCAGGTCTTTGCAATGAGGCAACCGATATTCGCTTTATTCTGAATGTATCAATCACATAGGCAAGTATTTACTATGCACAAAAATACCCTTACTGGAACTTTGTTTAGGCCGGATCTGTGGAATGCTACTGAAATGTAATTAACCTGCCAAACAATGTACGGGATAGATGTTACTAGGGAATATAGTACATGAGTAATGTTTTAGCCATACCTTCCATACACATAATTGATTGTTTGTTTGCTAAGATTATCGTCCTGTGAACAGCCAGGTTCATTCTGAGGCGGAATCTTCTTGTAATAGCTGGTGGTTACCTCACTGCGTAGCATATGGGAGGCCCGTCACATGTCTTTCAGGGAATTTGTATAACGATCTTTCACAAAGACACAACCATGTTGGCAGAGACCGGTCCATTTCTCAGCTTCCACATGAACACAAACTGCCATGCGTTGGCAGTGTCGAATCACAAACCTTCGATATACACTCCTTGGGCTACGTAGGTCTATGATCAGTTACATAACTGTAATATCATTGTAACGTAAATATAAGGATCAGACTAATTTGAAGAGAAGTTTGCAAAAAATAAGACAAAGAAGGTGACTTGTTAAGGTATCATGTTTACCTAGTACCCCAGAACTGGATCGTGAATTATAAACTAAATACAAAGTGAGAGACTATGGTTTATTTATTCATTCATTCATTTTTTTATTCAAATGTTGATATCATTTACCATTAGACGGAAGAATAGGAATAGGTGATACCATTTGTTCTATCGTCTGTACCCGAATATAAGGTGCACACAAAGCGCCCGGATTTCGCATTAATGACATTAACTGTCATCATTAGACTAGCAGCAAGCGTAATCGGGGTCAAAAGACTCATTATATGAAAACTCAGGCTCCCATATAAATTCTGTAATCCACATATGGTATTTATCAAGTCTCAGGTCGATACCATCGAATACATTGCCTTAATTGTTTATGATTTACATATCTGTACTAGGTGCTATAAAAATTCATGTCGCAGTAGTTTTCTACAGAGTAAGATACAACAGACACATGTATTGTGAGAAACGTGTGAAGGGTCTGCCTTACCGTTATCAATAAAGGCACTGATACAATGTTGTCTCATCGATTCGGCGGAATGTTAAGGATTGTTTGATCTACTGGATTATACACTGGCGACGGTGCTATTCTATCTATTTTCACTTTTTCAGTTTACAATATTTTGAATGACATTTTGATTTTATTGCCTTTTGCCGATTGTTTGTCACGTTACTTTTTGACAGACGACAAAACGTTAATATCGGATTATTAATGTCACAGTAGGACTATAAAAAGCGAGCCATAGCATGAACATAATCAAATGTTCACATGCACTGTGATCGTCGTGACTACCTAATGTAAGTATTAACATTGAAGATAACATTAAGTATGTATAACATTTAAAAATTGCTGTCGTATATGTGTTATTACAAGCAACTTCAACATTCTATTTTCATTATTCTATGTATGTACAATGTATCTGTTCTCCTATATCGCCTGTCTGAGTGAAATGACGTTTTTATCGTATTAGCTGACTATGTCGTTAATGTGGTGTGTTTATATTCCGTTTATATAGCACTCGGATAACCACACACAAATCAAAACATGGTTACTCGAATCTATCAATAATTAAATTATTTCCGTTGTTGTGCAATAAAAAGATAATTTACGTCATGTATCTAGTCTCAAACACGATATGTACTGTAAAAATGTACAAATATAAAGGTAGATTTTAACGCAAAGCCAGGTGAAGGAAGCTGAAAATAATGGATAATATAAAAACGACCTGATGAAAAATAGATAAAATATTTTGCATTTGAAATATTGCATTGATGTTGAAATCAGCAACATGTCAGATCATTTCCCCAGATTTCGACATTCCTAAATCGTATACTTGAAACTGGAAGTGGTAAGTTGGGTATCATTATTGGCATGATAAACATAAATTGATAAATTGTTTCGTAATTTTTATAAATGAATCAAATTCACGTTTTTTTTCATGAATGTTCTACAATCATTTAGCTGTTTCTGTAAAAGATTTTTCCGCATGTCGCCTCGTCCTTTAGCCAGATCAGAGATATTGAGGTTGTTCTTTTTATCTTTGATGAATTTTGACTTGGATATTGAATTTAGTAGTCCATTATGAATTAAGATATACATTATTTATTTTTATTGTCATTTTTATTTATAGATATATTTTCATAAATAGCTGGTATTATACTCTTTGTTGTTGCAAGTAAAAACACACATGAAGCTACCCATGTTTAGATGTATTCAATGTTGTAGATCAATTACCTTCTCCAAATGAAAGGTACAACGCCTCG